CTTCCACTCCCTTTGATGTAACAAGTTAATATTATAAATATATATTGTACCCTGTTTTTTGATACCACTCTCATGGCAGAAAGTGAAGAGGAACTAAAGAGCCTCTTGATGCGGGTGAAGGAGGAGAGTGCAAAAGTTGGCTTGAAACTCAACATTAAGAAAGCTAACATCATGGCATCTGGTTCTCTCACTTCCTGGCAAGTAGATGGGGAAGAAATGGTGACAGATTTTATTTTCCTGGGCTCCAAGATCACCGCAGACGGGGATTGCAGCCAAGAAATTAAAAGACGCTTGCTCGTGGGGAGGAAAGCTATGGCAAATCTAGACAGCATACTAAAAAGCAGAGACATCACCCTGCCAACAAAAGTGCATATAGTCAAGGCTATGGTTTTCCCAGTTGCAACGTATGGCTGTGAAAGCTGGACCATAAGGAAGGCTGAGCGCCAAAGAACTGAGGCCTTTGAATTGTGGTGCTGGCAGAGACTCCTGCGAGTCCCTTGGACAGCAAGGCGATAAAACTGGTCAGTCCTAGAGGAGATCAACCCTGACTGCTCTTTAGAAGGCCAGATCCTGAAGATGAAACTCCAATACTTTGGCCACCTAATGAGAAGGGAGGACTCCCTGGAGAAAAGCCTAATGCTGGGAACAATAGATGGCAAAAGAAGAAGGGGATGGCAGAGGATGAGGTGGCTGGATGGAGTCGCTGAAGCAGTTGGTGTGAGCTTGAGTGGACTCTGGGGGATGGTGGAGGACAGGAAGGCCTGGAGGAATGTTGTCCATGGGGTCGCGATGGGTCGGACACGACTTTGCGACTAACAACAACAACAACCCTGTTTTTTAAAACATGAGAGAGAATGAGCAAGTTTTAGGAGGACAGCTAGTTTGGATCAATTTATTATGCCAGATGTAGTGATCTTTCATTGCTGCATTTCAGCAGCAATGGGAGATGTTTGTCCAGGATCATGCCCGGTGGTAAGCACTGAAGCACTGAGCACTTGTGCTAGACAGCCATTTCCAATATAAAACAAAACAAATGAAATACTGGCTCTTTTCCCCACTACACATCTCTGAGAGAAGAGATTGGACATGTGGTGTCTAATTCTGGTGTTGTTATTCCTGTCTCTTTATTGAAAGCAATTGCATTGTGTGCATTTGTTGCTGTAACTACATTTTTCTTTCACAGTTCTAAAAATGATATTACAAGCAACATAAGAGCACATTCTTTTTTCTGTTTCACACCTGGACACTCTTTCACATAATGTCCCATATGTATTTTTCAATACACAGCCAAACAGTGATTGATGGTGGTAAGCACCATCATGAGCAAACTTTCCAACCTAGCCATATCAATACACTCAGCGCATATTGCATCTGTCCTGATATTCAATCTTTTTGTAAATTGTGTGCATGTGTAATTGTAACTACATGTTGTGTATGTATTGGTGTGTACTCCATAGTAATTGCCACTGAATTCATATTCTTTCATTAGTATGGATATGTTTGATGCCTCAGTTACTTTTCTGTAATATTGGAACACTTTTGCTTGCATTTTTGAGCTTGAACCCCTCGACTATTCTGCTATTTGGGCTCCCTCTGCTGAGAACCAACCAACTGTTCTATGTATAAATGAGCAAATCTGTCAAGCTCAGTTTTACTCACATCTCCCTTGTTCAGTGCAGTTTGTTCTGCCTAATTCTGCATTGGATCACCTGGGGCGGAGGGGGGGGGTGTCACAATAAAATCCATATGCATATTTTAAAAAGAATCTTTAGGATGCATTTTCCCAAGGGTGTGCATTTTTGTGCATACTGTATGGATTTTTTTTAAAAAAAGCTTATTTGTGCCATTTGTAACTATATACATTTATGCTCCTTTAAAGAGAATATATATTTGTGCAGTTTTTGAAGTATGCACAGTTTGGGTAAGCATTTTTTATTGATCTACATCGCAGAGTTTGGAAATACATGGAAATCAGAAGCAAATTATGTGCAAATCCCTCACACTTCACATACAGTTTGCTACTGTGTACAGGTGGTTATAGGGTGAGGCAGTAATCCTCACAATGACATTAGAAAAGAAATGGAATAGGTCATCTCCATACTCTTTTCGAGTGTAGAATAAAGTTAGAATGAAACGCCAGCTCTTCTCAAAGTGCATTAATGGGGCAAATAAAGGATCAGTTGACCTCATAGGACCAATGTGCATCAATGAAGGCCCGCCGGAGGAGGTTGTTCAGCCACCCATACCTTGTGGCATTGGGAAGCGGGAAGCAAGTTTCACTGTGTTGGTATCATCCCAGGAAATGTGCTGCTTTATGTCAATTTAACTTCTGCAAACAAGGGAATCAAAGTAAGACTGTATTAGCAGATCTTTAAATGAAGACAAACAGGCATGCCATGAAGAATGGAGTCTGTATGGTAGTAGTGTGACCTAGTTTGCATTGTACAAAAATGAAGAACAACATCTGTGTATATATTCTGGATGTTTCCTGAAAATTATAAATGGGGCTTTCAGTTGACCTGCACTGAAAAGCAGTGTGTGTGTTTGTGTTTGTATTTGTACTTGTATGGACATATATATGAGAACAGGGAATGTATCCCTGTGAAAAAGCAAGTACTCACTGCATTTATCCAGTTGTATGCACCTACAAGCATAACTTGGTGCAAGTTCTCCTTCTCTCCTTTGCCTTATCATATTCCTCTTCCAAAGAATATCTCGAGAACAGAATAGCCCACTCCATACCCACACCTGTTGGCCTGCTGGATACAGGGTGGACTCCATTATAAGTAAGTTGGAATCTGTGTAGCACAGGCCTCCAGGACTTACAGGTTTCCAGATAGAAAAGTGGATCAAGAAACTGATTCTGGGAGTGAGGAAACCGCCAAAATAGTGGATCTTACCCACCACAGCATCCTGATGGCAGAGACTTTACATAGCATTTAGATTTTCTGTTATCATTCTGTCTGTATTTACTGAAGGCAACAAAATTCTGACACTAGTGGAATGCTAGTGTCACTCTGACACTTGCTGTGTTTGCTTTATCTTGATGTATTAAGCAAAGTCAGGCATTTTATTGCTAAACTATTAGACTCTCTCTCTCTCTCTCTCTCTCTCTCTCTCTCTCCCTCCCTCCCTCCCTCCCTCCCTCACACACACACACACACACACACGTGCGCGCGCGCCAGTGAAAAGGCTCAACAAAAATATGGTTACACAATGACTTCAAGTATTAAAGGTTACGAAAGCAATATAAGATTGTGTTGTAAGTCATTTATCGCAATTAGCCTTTGAGACCCCACCCTGAATAAGTCTAGCACTGAGAAGATTAACAGTCTAACATTATATGTACAAAGAGCTTTTCTTGGTCACAGTTTGTCTACAAGTAATCTACACACTTAAGATGCAATCTTGGCATGGATTGTCTGGGGAATACTGGAATTTGTAGGGCTTTTCCCACTCCTAAGCATGCAAAGGATTGCACCTTGACTGAACAATTTACTAACAGATAATCACCAGCCTATACGTACAGACATGATTATACTATCCCACAATTTTAAGTTTTAACTGGGCATGGTGTTCGAGGTTTGTTCCATTCAGGACCTCCTGTTCTTTTTCAAGTTCAGTCCACAGTGAGGAGAGGAAGGAAGAAATCAGGTCTCTGTCCCTCCAAGCAGCTCTTTTCATGCTGTTGTCTGTCCTTTCCCCTGTGGGGCAAATAACAGGTGTGGGTAGACAGTTTGAACTGGGAATAGTCAAGCTGGAGAAAGAGAAAAAGCACCTCCTGTCCACCTCAGCTGCTCCTCCCATCTGAGCCCTATCTGGTTGCTTTGGAACTAAAAAAGCACAATGGTCATGGAGCCTGCCTCGTACAGTTGGCCCTGTTTTGTATTCCAAGGATGCCTCAGAGGCCATAGTAGGTTGAAATGTCACACTAAGCCACCCTGTCAGTGAATAACCAACAGTACTCCTGGCAGATGATCAGTCTTGCTGTGACTGGTTCCCCCTTTCAGTTCCTCTCAGTCTTCCTGCCATCAGTTCCACACCATGGAGTTCCATCGAGCTCCATTCTGTCCCCCATGCTTTTTAACATCTCCATGAAACTGCTGGGTGGGCTCATCTGGAGGTTTGGGCTGAAGTGTCACCAATATGTTGATGACACACAGCCCTACCTCTCAGTTTCATCCAACCCAGGTGAGGCAGTGACTGTCCTGAACCAGTGCCTTGGCTTTGTAATGGTTGCAACCCCATCCAGGATGAGTTGAAAATTTCCCAGTTGGATGAATGGGCAGCCCATCAACAGTACCTCTGTTTTGTCTGGATTGAGCATCAGCTTATTGGCCCTCATCCAGTCCATTACAAAGCCCCAAGCAGCATGAACCACCCAGAGAGCCCTCAGGCTATAGAAACACACTAGATAGATAGATAGATAGATAGATAGATAGATAGATAGATAGATAGATAGCTTCTAAGACTTGCAAAATGTTTGCCTCTTCAGTTCCCCCTCTCTGCTGCCCCAGCCACTCCCTGCTCGCAGAGACTGAAGTTGGCAGTTGATTTCACTGTGTTTCAGATCAGGCCTTGGCATGTGTCAGGTTCATAATGTTCTGCACTGCAATTCTAATTGTTGCCTTTTTGTTGGAGATTAAGTTTGTAGCTTAATAAACCCAAATGTTATCCAAGGTGTGTGTGTATGGCTTTATGAAAACAGTATAGTGAGTAGTTAATTATATGGCTGGTTGCGCTTAAGGTTACCAACTGCACACAGTTCCGTATGCCTTATGTAGCTTTCACTGTTTAAATGTAATGGCAAGTAAGCAAACAATTATTCAATTTCTCATTGGAACAAAAATGTACCTTGTTTCCCTGTATCAAAGCTATTATTAGGTCTCCTTAGAGATTATTTTCAAGCTTATAGTAATGTAAAGTCAGTAATAAATCTCTCCATTGATTCATCCCACACACAGCATTAAACATAATCCTGTCAAATCTTTCTCTTGCAGTGAAAAAGAAAAGAAATTGGCATAAACAAGATACTGGTCAAACTACAGAAGTCAAACCTGTTCAGAATGGTAGTCAGGTCTTCATTAAGGAACTTCGAAGTCGAACATTCCCCAGGTAAGTTGTGCAAGGATGTCAATGTTTGTGCTATTATGGTTAGATGAGAGCCTGAATGGGGGAAAATGAGGGCCTAGAAAGAGTGATTCTGGTGGTGTGGCCACATGAGTGTGGTCTTCAGGGAAGGCTCCTGGGGGTGGAAGATGAGGAAGAGAGCTACTGGTTAAAGGCATAGTCATGACAAGCCTCCATAGTGCTTATCATTGCCACTGCAAAGCCATCACATTTTAAGAGAATCACCACCAATCCATTGGCAAAGAAAGAGGAGGATAACAACACTTGAGAAAAGAAAGCTTTGTGAACAACATTATGTGAAGACTAGGTTAATAGTGACTGAATGAAGGATACCAGTTCCAGAGGACATAATCTGCAGAAGCATCCATGGCTAAAAAGTGTTGGCTGTTCCTGGTCTTTACAGATTGTACCTAGGGGAAGAATCAACCCCGCACCCACTCTTTCCTTTAACTTTTCAAAAAGGTAACCGAGTGATCTGTACTTGCACGCCTTGATTAACAACTAGCGGCCCTGATATGTCAATTCAAGCTGACAAAAGTGCCTATGAAGCGTTAGTCAGGTGAAGTGGACTCTAGATGTTGAAGGCTGTGAAGCTACGGCTGGTCTACATGTCTCTGCACATCAGCTTGCCTCATCTTAGCACGGACATTTGCAGGAAGGAAGCCTGTGTGCACAGAGGGCCTTGTCTTCTGGAACCCTGCATGGTCACGTGGAGGTCTCTGCTGTTAGACTTCCCCTTTCTAGATATCCACACCATACAAATGTTTGGGGCACAGCTAGTTGGCAAGTGACTTATTGGGGCAAGGCTTACAGCACTGCCTCACAACTTCACAACCCCTCTGATGCATGGCGATCTCTCCCTGTGAATCACAGTATCTTTGAACTACTTTTAGTTGACAGCAACATAGCCTTGAAATGGGGAAAAGAACTGATACAATGCATCAGCGTGTTCTTCTAGTTATTATTTGGCATTCTTAGGCAGATAAGGTGAACCTGCACGGAAGGAATCTCTGGATGTTTTGTAAACCAGTGCTGACAAAGGACTCTGCAAAAAAAGTCATTCTGATTCAGTGAAACCACTTCAGTAATAGGGAATGGACTAATATAGAGGGTTTTCTTTCCCTTCTGTATGGCTTGCTCATCAGTTTTGTAAACTTTTATTTATACCTTCACTGACCATCCCATGAAAGCTAGCAGTATCCACAAAATGAGTTGTAGTTTAAAGGAAGCACAGAAGAGGGCAGTCATGCATTACCCTAAAGAGTTTTTAGTGCTTTGGAGACATAATTCTCTGTATCCTGGGAACTATTTTTCTTTGTCATCAGATACCCTTTGTTGCTGAAGCTGCTCCCTGAAAGGCATTGCCATGTTATATATGCACCATCAAACCCTTAATCACAAAACTCTGCTTGGAAGTTCCTTGCATCCAAGTTGTTTCAATATCTTGTTTTTCCAGGCACTGTTCAGATCCATAGATGATGAAAACTGTGCTTGGCCAACCCATGGTTAGTCAAATTGTCAACACTGTCCTCTTCACATCATTTAAAGTTGATACAGAAGCATTTAGTTTGGACATAGAGTATTATTTCTTATACTTCTTAAATATCCAAATACAAGTTAGCATTTTTTAGAGGTGACTAGATGTTCTGTTTTTGCATATGGTCTTGGTTGTGAAGGCCACAGTCTTTTAACATTAAATGTCCATTCTTTAAAATATTTGAAATGGTGGACCAAGTACAAGCCAATAGTTATGAGGAATGGCCTTTAGTCAATGCTTGTTGCAAACTGGTCCATATCGTGTTAGATTATTCACAGGGAACTAACCAAACCTGCTCATGTGGGGCCTACTGCTTGGACACAGGAAGCTAGAGGTTCAAACAAATAACAGAGAAACAAGAGGAAACTCCCGCTTCACAGCTCAATCACATCTGGTCAGCAGAGTTCTTCTGTGAAGTGACCCCAGACACAAACATTTCCACTACCTGGTTTTGGCTGTGTTTCTAACTGCTGGGTCCCCATTATGTTAGAGGTACTATGGACAGGCTTGGATATTGCACATAGAGCTCTTTACATAAAACCGTATCTTTTTATTTCACAGTTTGTTTTTTTAAAATAAAATATTTTAGTACTTGTCATTTTGACGTTTGAAAAAAACACCATCCAGTTGTTTGGGGTTGGATCTAACTAGCAGCAGCAGAAAAGATATCACAGGTGCAACAGAATGTCCCTGTGCTTGCTTCCCTATGCAGTCACCTGCGCACACTCCAAATCAATTACTCAGTCCTCTGGAGCAGATTTAAAGGCTACAGGACACGGTCTGCTATTCTGGCAAAGTGATGAACCTGTATCCAATCTTTGCTGGTTCATGTTCATTCAGTATAATTATGAATGGCAAATTAGTGTAAAATGTTCTTCCCTGGAACCAGTTGCCTAATGCATACATGGGCTCAGTGTTATTTTGCTGTTCTTGTACATGAAAAATATATTTGGCCTGCAAACTACAAATGAATGGCAACCCAATCTTTTCTCAGTTATTAGTATATTTCAAATGAAAGCCACAGTCCATAAATAGGGCACCAGTCATAAATGACTCCATTCATCTCATTTGTGTCCAGGAACAGTGCCCATGTAAAATAATGTACTGCATTTAATAGTGTTACATCCTTCGTAGGAATCATTATCGATTATTAAGCATTGGTTACATAGTGTAATAATTAGCTTGTCTTCTTAGATCAATGGGAAAAGTTCTAATTAAATGTAAGCATAATTTGATCTTATAACATTTCTGAAGCAAAAGCAAGTCACAATGAATAAGTAAACTATGAATACAGAATTGAATATAATGTTCTGCATTTGTTATTTTTATTTTAACAAGATATTATGCTAGAAATCATAAGGTTTCTCATCTAGAGAAAATGAGTTTATGTCACATGGAAATCAATGCAATTTGGGTGATTTTACTTACCACAAAATTTACTTATTTATTGATTTCAATGAGTCTTCTGTGACCAACATTAAACTTTAGAGCGGAATGCAATGTACCATTATGTGTGCAAAAACTAGTTTTGAATCAATGTGATTTTTTTCAGGAATATTGTGATTGATGCAACTAAGCATTATGGACTGAAGAACCTTGTATTCCAGGCCAGGGAACAATGAACCTGGGAGACATAATTAGATGTCAACAATTTGGCCAACCTCAGAAAAGCAAATAGCTTGTTTTTAAATTTTTCGTACTCCTCTGACGGCCTGTTGAAATAAAGCATGGATTACAAAATATCGTGTGGCCGTGGCTTTTTAATATGGAGAGCAATACAGTGATCTACAGGCTGTTCCATCAGTGAAAGCACAAAAGCAAATACTGACTTTGGTGTAAAACTATTTCAAACTCAAAAATGTGTTTTGAATTTTTAGTGCTGAAGATGTGGTAATAAAAGTGACTGGAAGCCAGCTAACAGTTGAGTACTTGGAAGAAAATGGATTCACAGAGCCTATTCTCATTCCGAAGAAGGATGGTCTGGGCTTATCCGTGCCTGCACCAACATTTTATGTTAGCGATGTTGAAAACTATGTTGGTACGTATTTAGAGGAGGGGCTGTGATATATATGTGTAGTAGAGAATCTTACCTACTTGAGCATAGAAGAATTAGAGAATATTTTGAGAGAGATTCTTCTCAAACCTTTTCCAACCTGCTGCACTCTAGGTGTGTTGGAGCTTAGCTCACACCATCCCCAGCCAATGCTGCTAAAGGTCATGCAGGTTGGAGATGATGGAAGTTGTAGTCAACACCTGGCACATGATAGAAAAGGTTAAAGAAAGGATGTCCTTTTTGATCCTTCTCAAAGGGCAGCTCAAATGACCTGGGTGACTGGTCTAATATCTTCTTTTCTCCAGTCCTTTCCAACTTCTGGGGAAAATGCAGTTTTATGTTTCCCCCACCATGTGAGCACATCAGACCAAACTGAAAGATTTTCAGATTGTTCCTTTTAACCTGCATTGTTTTCCATTTCATTCATTTATTTCTATACCACCCAATAGACAAAGCTCAACAGGAGAGTCACATCAGTTAATATAACCATAACATACAAAATGACAAAATATGTAAATGTTTAAATACAGCAATATAAAACTAAAGGAAAAGGCTCAGATGACAGCTATGACAACCCTTTTTCTTTGAACTTGGATTTGACCCAGTCTTACATAAAGAGAGAAGGACAGCACAACTTTTAATATTAGTACATGTACAGGTGGAACATGGTATAATTTCATCCATATGCATATCTCTTTTTCCTTTTTCCTAACTCCCCTCATACAGACAATTCCTGATCAGAGTCTGGGTAGGAATGGATGAATCTGTCAGCTTTGCTTTCTTACTGTTTTTCATGTTTCCAGGATTTTTTTTAATAGCTTGCATGACAATTCATATGCATTTTTGTATGCATTTCTTTCAAGTCAAATATTTTTGTATGCAGTTTGCCTAATTTACCTAATAGAATGCTTTTTATATTATTTTTACTGCTAAATACAGTTTTGTGTATATTTTGCCTTAATATGTACATATTTGTATGCTTTTTGGACTGGAGAACTATATTGCAAAATTCATAAAAATGTGCCTTTCTAAGGATAACAATTTCAGTTCACAAATTGGTCTGAAACTGTGAATTGAGGTAAATTTGCATTAAAATGTGAACCAAACAACACCCCCCTCCCCCGACATCTCAAGCAGAAGAAAAATAGGAAATAAGAAGTGAGTGTTATGAGGACTCAGCTGCTTTCACCTGGGTTCCTTTTGCTCCAAAATGCACTCTTGTTTGCATTTGATTAACAAACAGGCCTGACACCTCCAGATGAAATTTGAGGCTCCATCATTTGCATTTATTCTCTGTCCATCTTTTGTATGCCTCCAACTTTTTGGTTTCTTGTTCTACCGCCTAGACTCATTTCCTGCTTAGGGACTGAAAGGAGCACCTGAGCATTTTAAAAAAGCATGGGGTAGTGAGATGCTGCTTTTAGCTAGGCATCCGCATTGAGATGGATGGAACTTAAGTCAGACTAAAACTATATACAGCCCTGCAACTGCTCTTGCTGAACGCTCCCTTGAGATGCGGTTGTTACAGGCTTCCACTGTGACAAAACCCCTTTGTGGAAGCACTGTCCCACTTGTCAATATTATCAATTCCTCCATGTATTTTGATCTCTTGCCTCAGCCTCCAAGAATCATCCTGGCCTTCCTAAATACCATCACCTTTGAGTTGCTTAGTGCCCTTAAATGTAAACGTGATATATTTGCTTGTACGTAATTTCTGTATCTTCTGAACCTACCCATTGACCCTGCCTCCTTGAATTTGTTCTTCAGGACTTTCAGACTCACCAAGGCTGTGTATGATGAGTTACATGAATATCAACAGAAACAATCATGTATAAGAATTCCTATGCTATAAAATAATCTTATAGCGTAATAATAATTGTATGCTATAAAATAATCTTCCACAGCCTCTTCATTCCTAGTGGGAATGTTTTCTTTTCCATGTCCCATCTGCTGTCCTTAGTGGATTTTACTACATGACCTGAATGCTTTGTAGCATCTGCTGGCAACTTTTCTGTCTTGCAGCTGAAATAATTTTACCCTTTCCAGGGAGTACTCTAATCAAGAGCGAAAGACTGAAGTAACATAGCGGGTTATTCGATGTACCAAGACAGCCCATGGACCCATCCCTTCATAATTGTCTCTAGCTGTAGAGTTTTGTAGTGTGGGTGAGGGGTGTCAGAGGTTTTGAGTCATCCAACCATCCGGTAACCCAAAGGACATATCTAATAATGAAATTACATCTTACTGAATACAGCCCATTATTGTGAAACTCCAAACACTGGCTAATAATGATCAAGAAAAGAACAGTTGCACTGGCTTAGCATCCTACACTGGAAGTCTGATTTTTCCTCCACAAATGTAGCCACCCCTTCTTCTTGCCTTGTTTATATGGTGCTTTTATACATCACAGTTGTTCTATGGAGTTCCCTGTTGAGCTGAAATTGAGTTTACTTGGCTGCATCTGTTTCTGGAGAACTGAGCAGATTTATTTTCAAAAGCTGATTTTGGGATCTGTTGTATAATGGTGTCTTATGGGATTTAGTTAGTTCCCCCCACCCCAGCCCCTATTTATATGTTGCTTTGAGTGACGTGAATGCAGGCAAATGTTGATAAGGAAGAGAAGCACAATTGTAAGTGCAGCGGCATAACATTGAGAAAATGGAGGAAACACTAAGAGGAGAAATATTTTTTCTTTCTTTCTGATGTTCATTAGCTTTCTAAATGAGATCCTTCTCTCATTGACTTGGCCCTCAGTTGGTATGTTTTCATCAAGTTATTGCTGAAGAGCTAAACTAGAGCTTGCCTAGACAGTTTTCACTTTGGAGGCCAAATGCTATTTGTACAGTTTTCTGAATGGTTCTGAATATCTGGGATACTTCCTTGGACATATCCAGTCCCCAGAGGGGGCATTCGCCATTGCAGCCCACATGGATGATGGGACAGCATTTTTCAGAGTACTACCCACCCCTTCCTCCTTGTTGTATAAAGAGAGAGAGAGAGAGAGAAATATATATATATAAAAATAAAAGAAACTACATGGAAAATAAAATCAGTACCAGTACCAGCTAGCGCTTGGACAAGTTTTCTTGCACTAGTAGCAGTATAGACAACTATACTACTTTATCACCAATATTTATATAGTACTGTACTTTCCATGAACTCTTACACAGATAAAATATCCTACTCCCTTGACTTCTGTACTTGGATGTGGGAGTAGATGTATTAATTTAGATACAGAGAGAGGGAGTGCGTATTTAGCAATACAAATGCAACTTTTAAAACGGCCGTACTTTTGAGTGCGTGTGATTGCACATGCAGATACACTTATATCCCTCAGGCAGAAATGGTTCCATGTCAACAGTGAAAGCTTCTTTACCCTTGTCTTCAGACACAGCTTTCATATCAGCTTGGAAAATTTAATTAGAAACTAAACTAAAGAATTTTTACTGAATTAGCGACACTTAATGTTCTTTACAGCAGCCTGCAATTTTTACACATTATTGATAGGCTGTAGACAGACTGCAAACTTTTTTCAATTACTGTTCTCAGTACTATATTTAGGTCATTTTGCAACATGAAAATATTTCTTTAAATTATTTCTAAATATTTCTAAAAACTTGGAAACTATGTCCTTTTGAAAATTATCAACTGTACAGAACTGTTCATACAAAAAAGGAGCCACTTTTAGAGGCTTGGCTTCGCTCCAGAGATGACAATATGGAAGAAAGGTGGTTGAGTTTTTCTTACACTGCTGCAGCAGTCCTTGCAGTGGACCGGTTTTTTCCTGCATCGTTACCTCAGGGATGCAGAACCTCATGCCATGAGGGACAAACTCACTGCACTAGGGCTGTCCAGATGGCTTCACTCTTTCCCCTGCCCGGGCCCCTTTCCCTGGCTACTGCTGTTTGGTTTTTTCCCAGCCTTTGGGAAAGGCTGAAATGCCCTTTCTAAGTTCCAGTCTCTGGCAGTAAGAGCTTTAAGCCTTAGGCCAAACTATGGTGCCTTGATTGTGGTATGGCTCCCCCAGGAAGGACGCCTGACATTTATGCTGTGGTCTTTTCCATTTCAAGTGAAAAACGTTATTTTCCCAGCCTCACAGCTTCTCTTGATTTTAAATCTGTTACTGTCTATTTCATAGTCATACTGTTGCTGTTTTTTATTTTAGTCCTTTACGAGTAAAGGTTTATATGTATTTTATGGTTTTAATTATTCTCAGCCACCCAGAAGGCTTCATCTATTGGGTGGTATAAACATGCTGGTACTTTGGGTATTTTGGCTTTACCCCTTTTGCCATTTGCTGCACCTCCCACTAGACATCTTTGCAATGGAATTCTGCCCTCAGGTGGCAAGATATTTAGCAGCTCTGCACTTTCTTGCTGACAACCCACAGGGCACTGCAGTGCCCACCTGTGCCCAAATTTCATAATGGATCCAGTTTTGTATTCCTGTTTCCCATAGGTTCATATCTTTTCTCTTTTTTTTCAAGGACCAGAAAGAAGTGTTGATGTGACTGATGTCACCAAGCAGAAGGACTGCAAGATGAAGTTAAAGGAATTTGTTGATTATTATTACAGCACCAACAGAAAAAGAGTTCTCAATGTAATTAACTTGGAATTTTCAGATACGAGGTAAGTTGGAAGACTAGCTCTGTCTGATTCCTCAGATTCTGAACCACTAACATTAGTGCTTTGTGTAATAACCAAGTTATTTCTCTTGTAATCCATCTGTGTCCTATGTAATGATAAAAGCAATGGTTTGGCCTTACCCTACAGACGATGAAACCACTTCCAGACAAATAATTCAACTCTGCACTTCTGTTTGCTGAAATTTTCTTCTGTGGGCAATGCTTATGGGAAGTGATGAATTTATGATTTGCTGAACCATGTAATTTAAGCCTTCTTCTTGTAGGACTTCTGGGTAATCTACATAGACATAAAAAGATTATTATGGGCAGGAGAATGCCCCTTTATAAACAGAGAAAATGATGAGTTTTGGCAAAAAGAAATAAACACTGTGTGTTTTAGAAGAGAATTCCATCTTGTTGGACAAGAGAAAGAAGTGATAATTAATGCAGATTAGAGAAAAGCTGGAGTATAATTGCAAGATCATTTATTTTGCAGTATCCATAGCTCTCTAGGCTGTATTTATTGTTTTAATAATGTAACCATCTTCCCTTTGCACAAAGGATCAAAAGCAATTTCAAAGCTCTATGATTATAGGTATTTTTCAATAGATATTTTACAGCTTTTTCCTCTATCTCCAGAAACAATAACAATGGGAAGCATTTTATTCTTGAGGACTGTTGGAACTATCCTCATATACTGCTGATTTAATCATCAGCTAGCAAATACTGTATTTTTCAACAAAGACTATGACATTTTAACAGGCTCCAAAGCTCTGTCTTGACATGGAGCATAAGTGACCTCTGTTTATAATGGAAGTGTTTCATACTTAAGAACTCAAACAAGAGGTATTTAGAAAGTAAAAACAAATTTATATCCACATCTGTTTATATAAACTGTTAAGTATTCAAGCCTTTGGATAAATAAACTTTCAGAAAACTGATAGTGCTCTTCCTTTGCCCTTATATTCACTTTTGGGTGATCAGCGAATTTGATTTTGCTGCTAAATGTTGAAAAGCAGTTCCACGAACAGTCCAATTTTAGGCATGTCTACTCAGAAAGAGAAATCTTTGAGGGATACTGACGGGTGAGTGTCTTTAGGACTGAAAGGATCTTGTTCAGATATGATCAAGTGAAACTGCAACAAAATGTTGTGTAAAGTCCTCTTATTCAGGAATCCAGACACTCCATTGCATTCACCTTGGAATTAATAGCCAGCAGGCCTTGGAGACTCTGCATATCTTGACTGTATTTTACATATTCTCTGCTCATTGTGCATGATCTGAAACAGACCTTGGGGGATGTGCATATCTTGGCTGCATTTTGCTCATTTTCCAGCCATTGTGCAAAGGCCTTGGGAATGCACATACCTCCCTCTTCATGAATATATTATATGCACGTTGTCTCTGAGATGTGGGGAACATGCACAATGGCCAGTTGTTGTGCATATTAACCATTCAACCCACATTAGCCCCACTGTGGACACTGAAACAAGTGTTGCCATGTGGAATGCGGCTCTTCAAGATACCAGCCATTCCATTCCGTTCCCCTTAACCTTCCAGTCTCCATCCCACAGCGAAACTGGGCAGCATGGCTTAGCCACTGGCCACACTTCGTTGGCATTGGCTTGTTTTTGTGATTCTTTTTAGAGCTTTCTGCTAGGTTTTCAAGCTTGCTGATATCTTCTTCTTGTTCATGAGTGATGCCGATTTGGCTATACAGCACTCAGAAATAGAAGGAATGAAGATGTCACATCTAATATTTACATTTCTAAGGGTCTTCAAACTTCTTCAAGGTTCGTTAGAAATAATTAAACTAGCCTTGTGCTTTTCCATGATTAGTAGGGTGATTGAAACTAGCTCTAACACTGCATTTTAAACTAAATCAAATGTTTTATTTTTGTTTTGATATTTTAAACAGAATGTCCAGCTTTGTAGAGTCTCCTGATATTGTTAAAAAACTTTCTTGGGTGGAAAATTACTGGCCTGATGATGCTTTGTTGGGAAAACCAAAAGTGACCAAATACTGTCTGATCTGTGTGAAGGACAGCTACACAGATTTTCACATAGACTCTGGTGGAGCCTCTGCCTGGTACCACGTCCTGAAAGTAAGACATTCTATTCTACATTGATTAACATACCATATCATAGAAGTTTCACAATCATGTCTTGATTTCCAGATCAGCTGTGCTGCTCAGATGAGGGTCTGAAAGACAAAATACTTACAAATAAACCAACAGCAGCTTTTGACATTCAATATAGTGATCATTTTGCAGTAATTCCCAAAATAACTTGTACAAGGCCATAATATATGACCTTTCTGTATAAATTAAGGAGATTATTACAATATTAAGGGGAGGGAAGAAAGGTCAGTTACATGATTTGAATATATCAGGCTCTAAACGCTAAATCGGGGTAGCCAAACTGAGGATTAGGAGCCACATGTGGCTCTTTGAGCTTATTCTGCAGCTCGCTGTTTGCTGCTGCTTGCTGCTCACTGCGCACTGCCACCACCCACAGGCACCCCTTGTGGCTCTCAAACACGTGACATTTACCATATGTGGGTCTTCCATTGCACAAGTCTGGCCACCCCTGTACTAAATATTTACCTTCTGACCCTGATCCTTCCTGCCTTCTGCGCTGAATAGTTGGTTGGCTCGAAGGTAGAAGCAGTGCTTAAGCTGTCTTCCCACCTTCGAGAGGGGAAATGGTTGGAGCACCCATTTGGGGTAGAAATGTATTCTGTCTTAGCCAGCAAGTGTAATCAAACATCTTGCAGAGCTGAATTGACTGCATACTGCTGTAATATTGGTGTTGTTCATATCTTCAGGCAAGAACCAATGCATATTGCATGTAAACACAATTGTCCTTGTAAGAAAGTACTTCCTACAGCCTCTAAATCTATTTTTGTGCAATGGTTTGATGACCGTGCAGGTTACAACATACATGCTCAAACCTGACAGCTGCTTTTTACTGAATTAAAACCAGAAAGGACTTTCTAAAGAAAGCAAGGTCTGATACAGACTTTCCCAACTCAATGTCCTCCAGTTGTTTTGGGCTACATCATGTCTCAGTCAGTATGGCCAGTAGCTGGGAATGATGGGAACTGTTGTTGAGCTGATCAGGAGAGCACCAGGTTTAGGAAGGCTGACCTAAGCTATTGCTTAGGCTGACTACTTTGTAATGAACCAAAATGTGGTGATTGTGAAGGAGTGTGTTGTTTGTATTTAAATAGTATCTTGATTTATTTATTTCCTGTATTAATCAGGTGCATACTCAGCTTTTCCACATATACCATTCCAGCTGGTTAACAATAATAGATATAACCCTACAATATAAATTGAAATATAAGTGATAACAAGAGAAGATAAAAAAAGAGATCCCACACGGATGGGGAACCACTTGAACCCAAGGTCCAAATTCCATTTTAGAGCTGCTGTCTGGGGCCATGTTGCATTGCTGGATGGAGATGAAGGCAGAGGGGGTGCAGACAATGGCAAGGGAGTGGGGTTGAACATACAGACAATACCAGCCTGCCAGTGTGTTGCAATTTAATGCTCGTAAAGCCTTTCAAGTAGCAAAAGAGACAATTCAGCTCAACAGGTCAAAGGTATGGAATGAAAGAAGTTTTCGAACTCGGGCACACCCCTGAAAAGACCCATCAAGTCTTCAGATTCCTCAGACGGAATCATGGTTTGTGTCATTTTGTATAACTAAAGCATCTTTTCTGTTTCAGGGAGAAAAAATATTTTATCTCATCAAGCCAACCTCTGCGAACATTTCCCTCTATGAGCGCTGGCAGTCAGCGGCGAATCACAGTGAAATGTTTTTTGCTGATCAAGTTGATAAGTGTTACAAATGCACAGTTAAACAGGGACAAACACTTTTTATCCCATCAGGTGAGAATACTACTATAATTACACAAGAGAGACTTATAGAACGTGTCTGTTGCTTTGAATTCTGGAAATACAGGTCACACGTGAGGTGTGAGAATATGAAGTTATGGCTTTGTAGCTACATTTCTACAGAACCACAAGTCAATAACTTTCCAGATGTGGGTTGAATTGCGGCATATAGAACTGGCCTTGCTATGTGTTGGTGGCGAGAGCACTCCAATCTGGACAAGATAAAACAGCACCGCACCCATGAGAGTGTAGGGATTTGGCATTTTACAAAGGACCTTTTTCTGTGGAATGATGATGTGCAGGAGTGCATGAAGGAATTTATGTTGGAATATACGAATATGACAATGAACGTTTATCCCCACTGCTGATTCTTCTTGCAAATTTCCCCCCATAGGCCAATTTTAATCTCTCTCTTACCATTGTCCAACTCACACACTCACACACACTGACACACTCAGGACTGTAAGGCCAGAAGTAAGTGTGGTGAGGGTAAAGCAGCTGACAAAGGGTGACTGCAGGGAGACATTGGTGGCCCTAGAGGAGCAAAGCACTCTTCATTTTACCCACCAGTTTTCTCCTGTAAGTCCTGCCCCACTTCAACTTAGCCCCCATATTCTTGCTTGTTCAGCAGACTCGGATTTTGGAACACACAAAATCAAGACTTATTCAACCATAAGATTGGAAATTTACAGGATATTTAAGTTCCTGTGCAACAGAAAGAGTTCATCACACATCAACTTCATAAAGAGCCATGAACCAAAAAGTCTCCAGTTCAGCTTTCACATCTGTCACATGCTCACTGCGAAGCCATAAACAAACCAGGATGGAGGGAAATACTAGTGTATTTGAAAGACTGCTGAGGGATATTGAGAAGCTTGCTGAGATAATGTACCTGAAACACTTTAAATATTAGAAAAAAGCTTTTACATTAGCCACCCTCCCACCCCAAGTCACTGGTCCAATTGATTTGCAGGCTATTTAATTGCCAGGTGTGTCCTGGCAGATGCCGGTTGTCTATTCCAGCAAATTAGGGGCAGTATCCAGGGCCATTGCAGTGCCAGCATAACCGACATTATTAGCACTTGCAAGATAATGGGAAAAAGCAGCTATTTCTCTTTGTCTGGCAAACTCTAATGAAGCTGCATTAGTGTGCTGTTTATGCTAGCACACTGCCAGTGTTAGAGCTATGGAAGTACTGGAGGTCACTCAAGACCACGGACCAATAGCCAATTTGTTTATGTTTCCATAGATAAATAGTATTATATTAATAAGTGCATCAACAGTAATGTGGTACATGAGCTTTAGGAGACACAAATTCTTCCTTGTGGCCTCTGTGTAGGAACACATGTTGACTGTATCTGCACACAGCACTGTTTGGAACATCTTAGAATTGAAGCCTACATGTTTTGATACAAAAGGCCATCCCCAGAGAGCCTGTGTTCCTCTGCTTACTTTGCTTTCGACCACCACAGCAACTGCATTGGAAAGGCTTCTCTATTTGTGTTTCCAAGTGAATTAGGCCTACTGCCATTAAAAAAATAGTTTCTGAGTTCTTTCCTGTTTATCGCTTGCTATAGTCTTTTACATTTACGGGTCTTTTCCCAGCCTGGGCAAGTGCTTGAGTTTTGTCTTGCTTTCCAGAATCCCTAGGCACAGATCTAATAAAAACAAGGGGAAGGACAAATGGAAGAAATATTTTAATGAGGACCATTTTATGGAGATGGAGCACAGTGACATCTATTGAGCATAGCAGCATCAAGTACTTTCATAGATCTGCATGTCTCCAGTTTGGGGGAGAACTTGAATATGAACTGCAAGGTTCAATAAGCCATTGGTTTATGTTCAGTGCTGGGGAACAGATGTATAAGAGAATAGGTCAGGAACCATCACTGAGCAGGTCTTAAAAAATAAATATCAGACTTCTGGGAAACAGCATTGTTAAAACAGATCAAATATCAAAATGGTCAGTTGCTCTGATTTGTATCGTGGCATGAAGCAGGCATTAACTTCTGTTTGAAGCTGCTTTATGGTATGAAAACAGTGGAACTATGAACGGTTTTTATTGATTGTTAAGGAAAATTATTCTGTCTTTACCCTGGGTTACAGTATCAATAATGCAAACAGTACATAATCATCATTAAGCAGGAACAGAATGTGAAGTATTAAGCAGGCACAGCCACCAAACATATGGAAGGGATCTACAAATGATAAACCTGTGGATTGCCTGTTGAAGTGGAACTAAAAGAAAACAGGAGGGGACACTTGAGGATTCTGTAGCATTTATAGGCTGTCATCCTTTCATTGCATTGCACCTGGAAGCTTACTGCAACCAGTGCAATCAGCGCTGTTCTCATTGGCACATCCATGGCATGCCTTCTTTTGCAGTAACTGCAGCACCTGAAAAACCCTAAGTAAAGGGTGTGCTATACAGTTTCATTTACTAATTTAAAATTTGGACAGTGGCTACGGGTGGGTTAGTTCACTCAGTCCCAAGGAACCTGGGAAGGTAACATGCATCAGACAGTGGATAATTTGTAAAACTGATTATCTGGACCCATTTCAGTCTGGCTTCAGACCCGGGTATGGAACTGAATCTGCCTTGGTCGCCCTGTACGATGACCTGTGCAGGGAGAGAGACAGGGGGAGTGCGTCCCTGTTGGTTCTCCTGGACCTCTCGGCGGCTTTCAATACCATCGACCATGGTATCCTTCTGGATAGGCTAGCAGGATTGGGAGTTGGAGGCACCGTGTGGCGGTGGTTCTGCTCCTATCTCAAGGGCTGATTCCAGAAGGTGGTGCTGGGGGACTATGGCTCTGCGGCATGGCAGTTATGCCATGGAGTTCCGCAGGGGTCCATTTTGTCCCCTTTGTTATTTAACATCTACAAGAAACCGCTGGGAGAGGTCATCAGGAGGTGTGGGCTGCGGAATCATCGGTACGCTGATGATACCCAGCTCTACCTCTCGTTCTCCACCAATCCAGGTGAGGCAGTGGCTGTGCTGAACCGGTGCCTGGCCGAGGTAATGGGCTGGATGAGGGCCAATAAACTGAAGCTCAATCCAGACAAGACGGAGGTCCTGTTGGTGGGTGGCTTGGGCCTCGGAATGGGGGACTTGGGCCTTGTCCTAAATGGGGTTGCACTCCCTCTGAGGGACAGGGTTCGCAGCTTGGGAGTGCTCCTTGACCCCGAGCTGTCTCTAGAAGCTCAGGTGACAGCGGTGGCAAGGAGCGCCTTCCTTCAGCTTCGGCTGATACATCAGCTGCGTCCCTTCCTGGAGAACGACTGCCTGGCAACAGTGACACACGCACTGATAACTTCCCAATTAGATTTCTGTAACGTGTTCTACGTGGGGCTACCATTGAAGACGGTCCAGATACTTCAATTGGTGCAGAATAGAGCTGCCAGGTTGCTGACGGGGACTGGGCGTTGTTCTCATATAACCCCAGTTCTCCATCAGCTCCACTGGCTCCCGATTGAAGTCTGGGCCCAATTCAAGGTGTTGGTTATGACCTATAAAGCCCTCAATGGCTTGGGCCCTGGGTATCTAAAGGAACGCTTGCGCCCATATATGCCCTCCCACCCCTTGAGATCAGCAATGGATGCCCTTCTCTGGAAACCCTCTGTGAAGGATATTAGGAGGGTGAGTACCCGGAGGAGGGCTTTCTCTGTGGTGGCGCCCCACCTATGGAATGCGCTCCCCAGAGAGGTCCGCCTGGTGCCATCGTTATTTATTTTTCGGCGCCAGGCTAAGACCTTTTTATTTAAAACTTATTTTAATTGTTAAATTATTGAATTAATTAGGATTTTAAAATTTTTAGCCAAGAATGCACCGGGGGTTTTTAAACAATTTTTTTATTGTTATATTATCATTATTTATGTATGTATTTATGTATTCTTTGTGAGCCGCCCCGAGGCTTTGTTGCAATGGGGGCGGCATAGAAATGTTTTAAATAAATAAATAAATGGATGGATGGATGGATGTAATTCTCTTGTACCACCACCTAAGAGAGAGCTAGTGGTTAGAGGCTTGGCTTGGTCATAAGGAGCCCTACTGCAGATACTGACGAGTTGTTTGACAGCAAGCCCGGGTCTGAGAATCTAACCAAGCAGCAAATGGCTGCCAAAATGGAGGTGGGGGTGGAATGGCACAATTTCCAGTGCTGAAGCCATAGTGATAGTAGCTGGCTTAGCCCTTCTGGACCCACCTCTCTTCACCCGTGAGTTCCTTCCCCAGATCTCCTCTTCCAGGCAAGGGTCACAGGCATGTGCTTGCCATAACGTGAGAACATGAGCTGGGAGAGGGGCTGGTGAGGGGCAAAAAATGAGTGAATGACTGCGTAGCCTCCTCCCTCTTATCACTTCTCTGCTGCACATCCAGGCATGTCTACCTTTTTGTATCTGTTTGGTCACCAGTCTGGACTCCAAGGCTCTGATCCACTTCCAAATGTCTATGAGGAAACCCTAGACCGCAATTACCTTAACCTAACTCACAATTCGGGTATAGCAAATGAAACGGTGCCTTCAGAGAACTTCTTAGGGTTTTGATGACTTTTTCATGGGAAAGGAGTTCTAACTAAACGTGTACAAATGAACCTGAATGGGTATATTTAGGATGCTTCTTAAGAGATCAGTGGCTGCATTTCAATTTTAAAAGCTGCAGTCTTTTCATCTATCTTTTACAGGGTGGATTTATGCAACTTTAACCCCGGTGGACTGCCTAGCCTTTGCAGGACATTTCCTACATAGCCTAAGTGTTGAAATGCAGATGAGGTAAGAAGGTTGAACTTGCTTTGTGTTACAATATTTAACCATATCCAGTTCTAAAGAGACGATGGGTTTGATCCAGGTCTAGATGTGTGCAACTGGGCTGGCAAAAACATAGTTCCTCGCCCCCTCTTCTCCACAGCTGCCCCTCCAGCATCCCACCCAGGCTAACCAGAAATTAGGAAGAATCTGCTGTTGAGCAGGGGCTGAAGTATCCTTCACTTTCAATCCACACATTTCAGCCTACCTTATTCGGCAGTGTCCCCCGATCCTCTGTGTAGCATTTGAGATGGGAAGCTGGGAAGGAAAGAGGAGAGACAAAGTCAGATTCTGCCAGTTCTGTTGCTTGTGTCTGAATCTGGATACAAAATTAAGTATTTTCTTTGAGATCAGTGTAGAATGATTAGAAATATTAGTGCTGGATTATAGAGCTAGAAAATGTTTTCTATCATTCTTTTAAAAAAGGAAATAAATAGTAGTTTCTATAATTGTCAAATGATAACTAACTTCAATTCGTATGTTTTTGATGAATTAGCATAAACACATTCTGGAAAAATCAGGCAAACTAAAGAAGTGAAAAAGTAAACCATCCATTTCCATTATCCTAAATTTTGTCCAAAAACTTAGTATTCCCTTTTACAATCAGTATTCCTAGTCTAATGCATAATAGACTGAAGTTTTTATATTGGGCATCAGACAAAAATGCATTTTAGGATGCAATGATATACTTGGCTGTACATTAGCAGAGTTGGTCCATTGTTTCTTGTTGAGCAGTGTAGTGCAGAGCAATTAGTTTTTCCTTAAAAGCAGCAAGTACAATGTAAAGAATTCTTCTGTTTCCAAATATGCTGGCCATTTTATAGCAGTTGACAATTTATGACAGCTTGCTTGATAAGAAGCACCTGGAAAGCCACACAACAGTTATGCTATAGTGCAGTGATGGGAGAGACTTTGCTTTTCATTTACAAAGCTGCTTGTCATCTGTTCAACTGAAACACCTTTTTACCATGTATCATAGAGCATATGAAGTTGAAAGACGATTAAAAATTGTCAGCTTAACCCAGTTTCCGAACTTTGAAACGGCATGTTGGTACACAGGAAAACACCTGCTAGAGTCATTTAAAGGTAAATAAAAACATGTCTCCTCTTTTCCATTCTGTAACACACAATACCACAACCTAATTTACTGTTAATGCTTAAACTGGTAATCATACTTTGACATTTTTTAAAATAACACACCTATGGCTGGGAAAAGATGTTTTTCAGATTCCAATAGACCTCACTGAAGTAACTTTAATATATATATATATATATATATATATATATATATATATGCAGTTTAATTAAAAATGCTTATGAAGCATGATGGGTTTAGGATGTCTGGGGTCAAGAGCATGCACAGTGTTCATAAGCACACTTCAAACCAAAGCTGATCTGGTCCAAAATGATCCCCATTCAGAGTGTGCAGCATGATAGAAACAAACTCCAGTAGTAAATTTTTTCCAGGAAAAACACGCCATTTCAAACTTATATACATGCATAAGCATTACTTTTATTTATCACTTCAGTTAGGTACATGTTCAGAACAAAGCCACTTGAAGTAGCCTGTGTTAGGGTTCTTACCTTCATGAGCCGCTTTCTCTCTTGGTCATATTTTCCTGAAGGTGGCCCCACTCTCCTAGAGCTCTTACCTCCCTGCCTTTCCTCTCCTGCCCCACACTGCCCCAGTGCATGAATGTCCTCCCAGAATTCTGTCTTCTTCGGTAATCCTCCTTAGCCTTCCTTTAGTAGCATTCTGTTTTTCTTGACCTTCTTTTTAACATTGAGCTCCCGAAAGCTTATGTTCCTGGCCTTCTTGAAGCGAATCATTCTTTCCATCCCGCTTTCCTAGAGATGACTTTCCCAGACTTATATTTGGCCATGTGCTATTGCACTTCTTACCTTCCTATAATTAAAACTCAATCCAAAACTCAAAAAGGACACATAACGTTTCATGTTCTATATTAACTGTTACATCAGCATAAAGGAACAAGAGGGCAATTGGCTCCCCTCTCCCAAAACATGAAGCATCACTAATTATTCTGGCTCTGAGCTAATGAGCAGTGTGCTCACGGATGTTGCGTTATTCTCGCTTGGCTCCTTCTGGAAAAGGGAGCAGCCAAAGCAACCAGAAAGTCACCAGGGCAGAAAAGCTTAGCAGCTTGTCCAGAGGAGCTCCTGGCTTGTCACTCATCTAACAACCCAGCATTTGAAACTGCATAATGATCCAGGCTTGCTAGCAATCCAGCAATGCGGGTTCTAAGTGCAGGTGTTGTGCTGAAGCTTTTTCACTCCTGTTCATTGCTGTTACTTTGCCCACTTACAGGATGAGGCAAAGTTCTCAGCAGTGTTTTGTGCAAATGTGCCCATTGTGTTCCTAACTATCTGTTTCTTTTCTATGAGGAATCCCTTACGTACCAATTGCCTTATCTCAGGCTTAGTCCTCTATCTTCAACATGCAGTGTTTTTTCCATTCATTTCAAATGGAGCCTAACAGATGCCCATTTAGTTAAACCCTCAGATTTAAAACACACAATACACAATTGGAGGTATGTTGAAATTCCACAGAAAAATTGACAGCCTTCTTTTAGGAGAATACAAAAGCTTAGGATGGTTGAACTATGCCAAAGACTGCAGAGAGTGAGCTGAACACAGTGCACATATAACCTGTGATCATTTTAATGGGCTGCATTCTTCTGAATACTTGTAGGAATGCATTGTGCATCTTAGTTATAAAAGCGCAGCAAAAGCTAGTGAGTGATTAAGGCACATATTACACTTGAATAAACCTGCCAAATAGAATGCCAGTCATCTGCAATAGAGTCGAATGCTATTGACTCAGCCGTGAGACTGGGAATATTGGATCTGCTGCTTTTTTAGGCTTTTCTTGATGAGGCTTTTATTGCTACAACATAACAGTTACAACATTCTCCTCCTAGATGATCCCCTTCTTCTCCTGCTTCTCCCATTGCTTCCCATTGCTTTCCTGTTTTTTCCCTGATCCAGGAAAATACATTATTTTGGGAAATCGTGAAATTAAACTGACACCATCCACTAGTGTAGTTTCACCAGGAAGTGGTCTGACCCTTCCACAAAATCTAGATCCCCTTGCTCATGAACTGAAGCAGCTGCCCAAATCAAGGGTACGCCTTTCCCTATGTGCTAATGTAGTGAAAAAAAGAGACAGCTCCATGGGTGTCATGCAGAACATGGAGTCCTGAACTGGTCCTGCTAAGACAGCCTCCAAAGGGATGGGGAAATGTCCCAAGACCAGAGTCCTAGAATTCTCCAACACAACATCCAGGACTGCCTCCATCGGGGTGCCCCATGGGTAGCAGTGTGGCATCCCTGTGTCCTTCGTGGTCTCAGAGCCTGCATTGAGCCTGTTGTTGGGAAGCTTCTATAGCTAAGTGTTCAGTTGGGTGGGAGTCCCGCCCCTTCCTCTTCCAAGAGGGGCTCGCACCCATTCCATCAATATTTTTTTTTTTTTACTGCTGCCATGCCTAGGTTAGGAAGTGCTTCTCTCCTCACTGGACTAACGAACGTTGTACAGGCGCCCGTAGGCTGCTCTGGGGTAGACAGGTTGCCTGATGAGTAAGACTGAGATTTTATGAATTGTGGCATCTGACCACTCAGCCATCCAACCCGAGTTGGATCAAGAGGGCAGGTGGGCAAAGCTGGGCTGTGCCCACTCCACCCAGTTCATGGACCGTGCCTGCTCCACATAGCCCTCTGTTCATCAGTATGGCATCAGTGCCAGCAAACTGAAAGAACTGTCACTGAAGGCTATGAAATCCCCCCTTTGCCCTGAGACACTTCTAGGGGAAGGAGGCAAGGCAGATGAGGTGAGAAGGGCACATATTGCTCGGCCTTCATGGAGAGAGGACTCCCATTTGAAGTTGTGCCAGAGCAACGCTTTTAAATGTTGCAGGCAGGCTACAACTGTGTGTGTGGAAACACCACCGCTGAAGTTCATGGAAAGAAAAGAGATGGAGGTGCTACGCTTGAGGCAGGGGAACAATGAGCAGGCATGTTATTAGCATTTTGGAACATCCTGCCATGCTCTGTTCACCAGTGTAAATGGTAGATAAGAGTTTTTAGCAAACACAAGAAAAGAAAAGATGGCTATGTCAGGGACCCTTCGAAATCCCATGCACATTTCAGCAACAAAGCCAGGAGTAGGTGGAAAAGCTTGTAATAAAACTTGTAGCACAAAATATGGGCAAACAAGCAAATTGAATGAGCCCTGTGTTATCAGCGCTGAAAAGAGAGGCATCAGTTTTTCCTTCAATAAACTGTTTTAGGGTCAAATTGTATTGCCAGTGAAAATGGTTGTAAGGAACTGCCAAATTCATGTCCTAATAATTTCTTCATTATTTACTGACAACCGAAACATGTTTATGAGAAAATGCCCCTGTTGTTTGTATGTGATCACTTTTTCACCCAACCAAGCTATGATGAGTTAGCTGCAACTATCACACAAACACAATTAACTAATCTTAGATACTCATTTCCACTGCAAGCAAACATTTTTCTAGTGGCACCTGTTCTGGTAGCAGTAAAAATGGGATTTACATTGGACCCTACTGTGGTTAGAAAAAAATACAAGGAAAGATGGCTTGTGAGTTAAGGCAGTGTTTCTCATCTAAGCGATCAGAAGCACATTCTGGATCTGTTTCCATGATGCTAGCACTGGACATGAAGAATACAATGATATAAAATGAAGCAATTTGATTTTTAATATCAAATTGGTATATTTTAATACTGAGTTGTAGTCACTATTGAGGAAACAGAAGCCCACTCAAGAAAGGAATTTATCTGGCCCATCCTCTCAGCATTTGACTACAACTTAGTACAGGAAGTGGAAGTAGTTCTGGGAACTACTGAAACTCTCATGATGGCAGCTTTCATGAACAGAAAGGTGCTTATGTAAGCCACCTCACCCAGTATCCTAGACTTCTCCTGACAGTGTCCAGATTTTCAGACAGACAAAGTGGAAAAGCCCACATTTACATACAGTTCAAGAAGCATTGCCTATAAACCCTATCCATGGGAAACTGTAATCTTTAGAATGCTAAATTCCACTTTAGTTGAACAAAGATTTTAGCAAATTTGAATTTTATCACCAGATCTGATGTTCATGGTCAATACCAAAAATAAATAAGGACAGGACAAATTGCAAATTCATTTGCTTTTTGCATTTATAATACAGTTTTTAAACAGATTCTAAAGTTTGGAACTGCTAATGTAAGACCATAGGAATTCTCTTTGTAATATGCTTTTCTGTTTCCTCCACTGTATTTCCAAATTCCTCTTTAATAACATAAAATATGTATTGATAGATAATTGGTCACCAACATTAAATGGCATTGTGTTTTCTTTGCTTAGGATTGCACAAAGCTGGAAAGCAGCCTCCTTCCCATTTAGTCCAGGGAGCAAAAATTCTAAATGGTGCTTTCAGGTCTTGGACTAAAAAGCAGGTAGGGATAATTTTGCATTATAGGTCTGTATGGTAGCCAAAATAATTCTAGCATGCTGTGGATGTGAAAGGACCAGGATGAATTCTTTCATACCACAAGTTTCCAGTAGAACATGTTTTCACATTTTTGGCTTTATCTTCTGGAGAAGTGCGTGGAATCATTTCACAACGTTCCCACTTTCATGCCAAAGTGTTCCCTTGGTGATAGCTCAACTCAGCACTCAGTCAGGACAAGGTGAACCACACTTTGGATAAGAATGTGTATCAGCTCAGATACAGCATCCCAGGAGTGGGATTCTGTGAGGAGAGGGCGAGGGACCCTCCAGAGCAGAATGGGAGATGGCTCAGGGGTGTTGTGGGGTAGGAAGGAAAGGAAAATGGATAGAAGTCACCTGCTCCCTTTTGCAAACTGGGAAAGCCTTTGCTGGCTCCAATCACTTCTGCTCTCCAAGGGATATTTCCTGCCCATATATCCAGCCCATGGAACTTCTATCCTGTAATTTGAAGTGCTCAGTAATAGTAGTTTTGCATGATTTCAACAATATGACATTCTAAGGTCTCTTAATGCATTTTAAACTGTTGATTTTTCACTTTTTTCTGTTTAAGGCTTTAGTGGACCATGAAGATGAACTCCCAGAACATTTTAAACCAGCACAACTCATTAAGGACCTTGCCAAAGAAATAAGATTAAGTGAGGTTGGTATTCTTTCTTGAGTTGGTGAATCTCTATAAACTGTCAAAAATAAACCTCCCTGTTTCTAAACGATGTATTTGCTGATATGCATTAAAATCCAGAAGTCCCTTGTATGGTCAGCGGTATTCCCTTTCCAGAAAAATGCTGTAGCCACATGCTCTTATGCAGCTTCAATCATATTCGTACTTTCTAATATAAAAGTTAATCTTTACTGCTGTTTTTAAAGCTAGAAGATACATAGCCAGTGAACTATGACTGGCACATGAAATAACCTTTAATGTAATCTCCACAGCCCACTCTTGTGTTGGGCTACCTGCATTTCAAGCCTATCTTAAATTAACGGGAAATATTGTATTTGGCCTTGCTTCACAGTTGACTGGGGCAGTGGAGGCCAGATTTTTTTCAGGGAAAAAACAGTTACATGGATGTCAGGTCTAGACTGTAGGCAGCCAGTGCCTATCGCTGGAGTACCAGGACCAGGGAGATGGAGATTTGGCATTGATGTAACGAGGCCAGAGCAAAGGTGCAGCCAGGAACAAGCAAGAGTATGATCTGTGGCAAGGCATGGCAGGTACAAAGGCAAGTGCAGAACCAGAAGCAGGGAAGGGTCAGAGAGCAACAAGGCGGGGCAGGTCCAGAGGGCAGGAGCTGGCAAGGACTGAATACGGACAAGGCGCAGCAGCACCACACACAAAGGCAGGTCCAGAGGCAAACTGAGATCCGGACCTGGCCAGGCAGAGCAGGGCCAGGAACAAGGCAACGTCAGGGAGAACAAGGAACAGGAACCCGCCAAGGCTGAAGGCAAGGGCAGAAGCAAGGGCTGGCAGGAGGCAAGACACCATCAGGGGCAAGAATCAGTCCAGGGCAGGACCAGAATGCAGGCACCACAAAGGCCTGTGCTGCCCTGGCCAGCTGAGCCTTCCAGGGCTCCCAGCTGGGCTGTGTGATTAGCCAGGCTCTGATCCTGCAGGCACTTGCACAAGGGCAGGAGGAATTCAATGGGATGTAGCTGCTCATACTGGAGACTCCACTTAGAGTAGGGGGCAGCATACAGATGTCAAAATAAATAAAGAAAATAAAGAAAAATTGTACTGCTTGGACAGAAACCCCATTAATCCAGTATTAATGGATTATACTCTAGTATTATATTGCAATTGATTCTTTTGGTGTATTCTGATTTTAATATTGTAAGCCGCCCTGAGATGTCTCACATATGGGATGGCATATAAAAGTTTCCAATAAATAAATAAATAAATAAAATCAGACAAACACTGTGTGAGGAAGTATATCCCTCTGCCTGCCTGTATTGTCCTACCCTTCACTTTATTTATTTATTTATTTATTAAAACATTTATATGCCATCCTTTTACTGGTTGACCCTGGCTTTGTGATGATGGATTCAACACTGTCATTTCTTTTGCATGAAGAGGAAGCCAGGTGGGGGCTACTAAAGCTTTTGGCGTGTTTAGGCTTAAATGCAGAATATGAATTTTAATGAATATTAAAATGACAGCATAAATAGAAAATAATTTCTTTTTAATTAGTCATACATTGTTAATTTTTATTGTACATCTTTTACTGCTCCTTTTACCTTGGGGTAAAATGTAATTCTGTTTTGTTTCTCCCTTGCAAATTAATTTGAATTTCATTCTCTTAAAACTGATTATCATTTAAACAAAGGACAGTCTTCCTCTCCTTTTTATTTCCTGTTGTCTTAGAAAAATAATAATAAAAGAGTGAAAGAGACTTCTAGGATTTTGGAAAATAAGTAGAAGAACAAGAGAACAAATCAAGCAAATAGTAATCCTCTAAATTATAATTAGAGGATTTTTCTTAATAGAAGTGGCATTATGAATTATGGAAGTATAGAACTATAACAAACTTCTGGGTAGTTTGCGAGTGTTCCTTGGCCATACCCTTTCCTTTGGCCCACAGGTCAATGGCATGCAAGAAAACAAATATACCCTGCCATTCTGATGTTCAGTACCAGATTGAATAACAATTAATTTAAATATTTTGAAATTGATATAGCAGGCTTATCAGCTGCGGGTATACTTTCTTAAACATTATAAATTTAGCAGAGCCATAGTAAAGTAGTATGATAAAATGGCAAAGGGGAATATGAACATTAAGCCCAAGGACTGTAAAGAGATTTTCTTAGTGAGAGTCCTTTTATATTTTCCAAGACAAACTTTAGTAACCAAGTGAAAGCGTGCAGGGATGGGAGCTCGGGAGATCCAAGGTCTTTTCCCTGACTTAGCCACAAAGCTCACTTGGTGATTCTGAGTCAGTCACTCACTCACTCTCAGCCTAACCTCTCTGTTGTTGTGAGGATAGAGTGGAGAGGAGCAGAGGGATTAGGTAAGCTGTCTTGGGTTCCTTGTGGGGGAAAAAAGACAGAAGTGTGACAAAGAAATAATTCAAGTAGGATGTACAGGTTCATGGGTAAGAAACACATCCTTGTCAGAAGCTCACTGACTGATTTTATAACAGGATCTTGTCTCCTCGTCTGTTTTCCATATTTTGTCATTATTGGGACAAATTCACGGAGAAGCAGCAATTGCGTTGCTCTTCCCGTGTGCCAAGTGGACCACAGCAAGCCTTGGATCTCACATGCTCTCGGTTTTTTTGAAACTTGCATAGCCTTCAGAAAACCTAATTTTGGGCTTTCTTTCCTTAAAAACTTAGGAAAACCCAGCCATGATGATATATCCAGTTTTGAAAGCCAGCTCTGACTGTGTGTTCATGTTTCCTTCTGTTGCAGAACGCATTGAAAGTCAACAAACCTGAAGTAGGGGCCAGCGTGAATGTTGAGGAGGTTAGCCCTGTGGAGAAAGAAGAAATCCCGTCACCAGCCCCACGGACGCCTCCACCCCCGCCGCCGCCACCATCGCCACCTCCACCACCTCCACAAGTCGAAAAAGCTCCCAAGAAAAAGACACCGAAGGGAATGAAAACACCCAAGCCCTCCAAGCTTGCCAAACCTCCCAAGCCTCCAAAACCACCTAAGCCCCCCAAGCCCCCCAAACCTCCCAAGACACCAAAAGTAAAGGGGGAAGGGAAGAAAAAAGGCAAGAAAGCAAAAGAAGCGCCTTCACCTGCCATTCCTAACTTAGACCTTCTTGAGGCACACACAAAAGAGGCCCTAACAAAGATTGAAACACCAAAGAAGGGAAAGGTGAGCAGTGCTTTAGGTGTCAAAAATGGCTTAGGGCTGCATGACTTTTCATTCACTGAAAGGGGCAGAGGGCCACACTACTGGCCATGCCCCATGGTTCCATGGCTTCCTCTCTCCTTCCCAGCATTCACAACTTCAGTTTGAGCTGGAAAAGCGTATACATATAACTTTCCATAGCAGCTGGAGCCCAGAAGTCTACAAGCCACCTTCCCTGCTGTCCACGTTCAACACTTGGTCAGCAAGAGGCAGGCCCAGAAAGCAGTATGGCCCCAGGGGGCAGCCAGCTCCCTGAGAAAAGCCATGCTAGATCCTGCCACTGGTCCAGCCAGCGCAGCTCTCCGTTTACATGGTAGCAAACCAGCCACCCTTAAATTCCCCAAAGCAGGATGAGTATAACAGTGGCATCCTGTCAGAACTTGCAGACCCTCAGGCATACTGCCTCTGGTACCTTGGTTTGTCTAATGCCAAGGCTTTTAAAGACTTGTCTGGGCTTGAGGACATTTCCCATCCCAGGTCTTTTTACCAAGTTTATTTTGTTATTACTTGGTTCTGAGAGAGAGAGAGAGAGAGAGAGAGAGAGAGAGAGAGAGAGGGAGGGAGGGAGGGAGGGAGAGAGAGAGAGAGAATTTTATTATCTGCTTTATAGACTGTTGGAAACAGACTGTTGGTATAGAAATAAACATCATGATGATGATGATGATGATGAAGATGATGATGATACCCTTTTTAAAGTCATTCAGATTGGCAGCCAACACCAGTTCCTCTGGCAGTGAATTCCACAGCTTAACTATACACTGTGTGAAGAAGTCTTCCTTTTCTCTGCCCTGAATCTCTCACCTTCAGGTTTCTGCAGCTCCTTTCAATGCATAGCTCTGCATCATGCAATATATGGAGTCGTCCTGCCAATTTCTGATCGTGGGCATTTTCAGCTTGAATGTGTGTTTCCAGTTGATGGGCAATCGCATCAGTGTCAAAGATACTGATCATGGACAGCTTTTAGCCCATTAGTTAGAATAACCTATATCAAGAACATCTAGATGTTGGTAAAGAAGTGACATTTGCCATGGACTCCTTTAAAAGATAAAAGTTCCATTTGGTTCACACAACACTGAATTCAGAAAGAGAGATAAATCAATACTGAGAAAAAATTATTCAGAATCTGGCTAATAATTGGGTATTATCAGCTTAGCTGGCATGCAGCTATATTGATATATTCTAGAGTTTAAAAATTTATGACTTTATAAGCTGGTAGACTGGCACATTTTTGTTATTATCCTCTAAATTTGATATTTTATGTTTTAATGTGGACTTTGGCAAAATAAGCTCTAGGCGTGTCTTAGGCATGACTACCACTGACCAAAATGTCACATGGCCTTTAACAACAGACAAGCATAGCCTCATTGCCTCTTGGTTTGGGATAATATGCTGATTTCTTTTTTGGGTTTGTTTGTTTATTTGAATCAGGCTGCCAAGAATGCTTTGAGTACACCTAATAAAGAACCTGCTGATAAACAGAATGAGGCAGAAAAGTTTGAAATCCGGGAGCAGAATAAGACCAAAACAGAAGCTAAATGGAAGTATAAGGTATGTTTCCACAGGTGTTTGAGTTCAATTCTGAGATGAAGGAACTAAGTATGTATGGAGCATTCTCCCATATATATTTTTGGTACACAGTAGAACTGCAGGGGCTTGAAATGTGTCCTGAAACTGCCCCTTTCACCTGTTGCTGATAGTTCATGCTCCCATCACAAGGTTCATCAGCATCTTTTTATTTATTTAAAGTCATGCCTTCTTATTCCCCAAATCCCATCAGGAGGAATTGGCACAAAGCTAATTCAGAGTGACACCAAGTTCTCCTTTATGTTCCTCTCTGAAAACTTGCCAAGGGTGAGTGCAAGTATACGTTTGGAAGGCACTCTTCCTATTTCAGTTCAACAACATTAAGAACTGAACTATCCAATAATTTTTTTGGCTTATTATCTTCCCAGAGCAGTACAGCTGATGGATGGTATAGGGATCAATCCATCAGTCAATTAATCAATCGATCAGTCAGTCAAAATCACAACAATGTTGTGGCTGAAATACCTGGGCAGGGATCCTAACTAACCTTCTGTTGTGGGTGCATTGCCTGAACAGCCTTCAATGCAACAGATGTTTCTATTGTCGTCGATCTCTTGCAGCCTGGACAATCTTGGCACCCTCTGGAAGCATGTGCAGGTGGAGCTGGGGCTACAGTGGGGTGGGAAAATGTCTTCCTGCCTCTTCCTCCAGCAGAAGCCTTCGCTGGATCTTAGTCCCTTTTGTAGATAGAAGAAGCTCTTTTATTTTTGAAAAATAATTTCAGCTCTGTTAAGTGTAGTTGAACATAGATTTGTTTAATTTGCTGCACAGATGTGCAGTGATGTCAAAATGTGGAAAATTGCACGTAACTCAATTACTGCAATGGGTGATGCACACGGAGACCTGGTTGACAGCCTGTCTCTTTCTCTGTCTGTCTCACTCTTTGTCTCTTCCACACACAAGTACACACAGAGTGGAATGGGAGCCACATCACTCGACATATTCCCACCTTTCAGTGGAACTGTGTGGCCCAGTTGCCTAGACCTTTCCTATCTCATCACTGCATCAAACTGTGGAAGAATCTGCTGTGTCACCTATACACTTGTTCAAATTTATGCTCCATCTGCTCTAAAAGTGAAATGCACAAAAGAAATCAAAAGTCACAAGTAAAATAACAATTATTATTATCCTGAAATGTTCCTGTTACCCTTATTTTCAGAACAGTAAACCTGATTCATTACTGAAAATGGAAGAGGAGCACAAATTGGAGAAGACACCATTATCAGGAAACAAGGACAATAAATTTATGTTTTCCTTCTCCAACAAGAAACTATTGGGGTAGGTCCAATTTTGGCAATGAACACTGGCTAGTGAAGGTATTGGGAGTCATGTGCTCTGCCGAGCTGGCCCCTTTTCAGTCTGTGACATCTCCCAATCAGGGCGACTTATGGGAAATGTTAGCATGTTACTTCCTCAAGCCCACTTTTGGAAGTGCAGATGGGGTCCTGGCCCCGCATGTAAAATCTGGCCAGCAGCCCATACAACACATGCTTGGTATAGGACTTGGTATTTGCTCCATTGGAACAGGTCCGCTTAATAAGAAGGGGATTCAATGACTGATGTGAGGAAACAGGCACAGATGCTAAATGGTTATTTTGCCTCCGTGTACTCCCCAAAGCAAGACAGGGGAGATCTACATGGGGAACTGGAAAAGGTCAGGGATTTAAAGGCACAGGTTAGGGTAACCCTCCCAGAAGTTGAGGAACTCCTCTGGGTACTGGACATTGCAAAGGTGGTGGCTCCTGATGGGTTACAGTTTATGCAGAGCTGCCATGCATAAACTGTCCACTCATGCCCATGCGAATAGATATTGATTATCTAGTCTCTTAACTATATATTTCTTAACATGCACTTCTTTCTTTTCTCTCAATCCCTTCCCTAACCAGTCACCTCCACCTCTGTAGGAGAGGCAACTTATACTGTGAATATTGTATTAGGTAAAAAAGGAATGTGGGACCCATCCAGGATGTGCAGTGCAGGAGTCGAGTTTAAAGCATGCCTGGTGGATGGGTGTTCAGTTTTTGCTTGAATATCTCTCGTGACAGAGAGCCTGTTGTCTCTCTAGGAAGTTAATTCCATAGATTGGCTACTCTGGCCATGGGGAAGTGCTTCTTGCCTTCCTGTAACTCAAGCTACAGGCTTGGATGATAGATTAAAGATTGATGCCTTCTTTTCTGTGACAGAGCTTAAGATGCTCAAAAAGTACAAACTTTCTTCTCAAAGTAAGAGTATCCAGGTCCTTCACTCTCTCCTAGGACTTAGCATCTGGTCCTTTGTCACCCTTTTCTGAATGTATTCCATTGCATATGAATTCTTCTTAAAGTGTGACATCCAGAACAGGAGACAGTATTTGAAAAGATGTCTGACCAGAACAGAATAGGGAGGAATTATTATTTCCTGTAGTTTTGAATCAATTGGCAGAACATAAATTGTACTTGCCATAAATTGTACAGCCATGTCCCGCTGCTGATTCATATTCAGCTCATGATTGTCTATAACTTCAAAATCCTTTTCTCGCATAAACCTGTCAAACCAAATAAACCCCATCTTATTTAATTTCTTTTTTTAAATGAAGAATTCTGCACTTCTCTCTACTAAATTATTTCTGTTATTTTCTGCTCAATCTTCTAAACTAGTAAGATCATTTTGAATGTTGTTTCTGTCTTCTGAGGCATTAGCTCACTCAATTTGGTAAGCGTTCTCCCATCCTTAAAACCAAACCAACAGTACAAGATCTAGGACATGACTAGTTCCAACTTTTATTTTTCACCTGTTCTTTTACTTTTAGCATAGCCGAAGCAGCCTTTTAGCTATTCTTTGCATTCCTGGCCAACCTTCAGCATTTTAGCTTTTCCGACATCTATGCAATCGTGGCTTATCTGCCTGTACACTTCCATAATGACCTGTCTGCTCCCCCCCCCCGCCCCCCCCCCACTCCATCTTTGCCCTTTTTCTGTCTGGGTTCACATGATGCACATATTCCTTTATATACACATATTTTAAAAAAGAGCTAGGGACGTGCCAGTGGTCCCTCCAGTGTGCCTCTTGGGCAGTGGAACAGTTGTCATTCTTTGGAGGCTGCAAAAGTTAGTTCTCCACAAAAAAGGGAAAATGCACAGTGGAGAAGCAAGGGAAGAGCAAAAGCATTCATTCATTTTATTTATTCATTAGATTTATATCTTGGTTTTTTTCTCATAAGAAACTCAAAGTGGCTTACCTAACTCTTCTCCTGCTCTCAGTCTTATCTTCTCAGCAACAGCCCTGTGAGGTAAGTGGAGCTGAGTGTCTGTGACTGGCCCAAAGTCACCCCGTTGGCTCCATGGCCGAGCGGGGACTAGAACCCAGGTTGCCTGAGTCCTGCGCTCTTAACCATTACACCACAATGGCTTTCTTGTGCTTGTGGAGGAGACAAGGAAACTTCAGTCACCAAGTCTTCTGGGAAGCCATCTGGCAGACCCAGGGGAAAGGAGTGAGGACAACACAGAGTGATCCCACCTGCACTGCACAGCGTATCCACAGACCTTGTGCTGTGCAGACCTGCTCACTGGCTTCTGTTTCAGCCCACCCCCTCCGCCCCCACCAGGATTTTGCTCTGAGCTTATTAAAGCAGCTTCCCTGAAGTTCCACAGCAAGCTTTGGTTTTCCTTAGAATCAGGCCCACAGGCATTATGGGGACACATTCCCACAGAGTTCCTGCTAGTTTGACCTTGGTTGAAAACAAGTCAAGGATGCGGATCCCCTTGTTGCTTTCTCTACCCAATGAAAAAAAAAAAGCCACCAAGCCAGGAACTTCCTGAAGAGACCATGCCTGGCAGAATTCACCTCCCAGCAGATATGAAGTCCCCCATTATACCTATCCATGCTTCCTTGCAATAGCCAGTTTGCTATTGGAAAGCATCACCCACATCTTTTTCCTTCAGCAGATGGCCAGTAGTAGTCTCTAACCCCAACATCCTAAGTGTATAACCTGGATCATTCAATAGCTCCACCATAGTCAGACTCTTGAATTGCTAATAAACGGTGCTACCTGTTCCCTGTCCTTGTGGATTTTATTCTTGTTGAGCAAGTCATATTGTTCAGTAGCTATTTATATGCTGTGAAAGTCAAAAAGGAGGTAACTCCTGACATTCTAGAGAAAACATTAAGAATCTGCATTTAGGTGACAGGCAGGTGAATGCTGTCAATTCCGCCAGTCTACATAAGGATGACTATATTGTTGGACATTCACTAAGTGAACCAGCTATGTCAGCATTTACTGTGGAATGTCATAAGTCTGCAATTCTGGACTTTGAGATATGCATTTATTGGTGAGTGTTGACATTCACATGTGAATGTGACAAACGTTATGAATGCCTAAGAAGTCAAACATAGTGACAGACCTTAAATATGACCCGGCATTCACTACTATAGTTCCAAACAGTAGAGAAAATGTATTTATTTTTAGATAAATTTAATCATTTAGATAAATGATTAAATTTATCTCAGATTGTCAGCATGCAGATGTAGATGCAAATGATTAAAAAACATTTCACAAACAAGTAAAATCTGGGTTTTTATAAGTGTGTTAAAACCGCATAACTTGATATTTATCAAATGATCTCCACTGCATTGAGCCATATAATAATTATTATTTTAGCATTTTATAATGAGCATAAACTTTTGTGATCTCTATTTCTACTATTTCCTCCTTTAAATTGGAGTATAATTTCTCACTTTTTAAGCCAAGTTTATAATTTCTTTTTGAAATGGATAATTAGGTATGCATCTAATTAAAATAGTTAATTTGAAAGTAAATGAACTGAAAATCAGGGTGACATGCATAAACTTAATTGTCTACTATTTTACAGGAACTGGGACTAGACTAGGTTTCATGAAGTCTAGCTGTGTTTTGATTATTTTATGCTGTAGATTTGGCTAGCTACTTGCCAGTAATATATATGGAATGCACCGTATCATTCTTTACAAATTTACACCTTTTGATTATATCTGCCATTACTTAATTAAAAAGTAAAAAATGCTATTATATCTGTGATCAATAAACCTGCCTACTTCTGCTTTCACCTCTTCTGTCTAACTAGTTCAAAGGGAGTAAAAACTCAGGTGAATCCTGGTATATTTGGATCTCTTCAAAATTTCAAAGAAGATAAAACAAAACCTGTGAAAGATGAATATGAGTACGTCTCAGATGATGGAGAACTGAAAATAGATGAATTTCCGATTAGAAGAAAGAAAAACACCACAAAACGTGATTTGCCCTGTAAGACTGTTTTTCCTGCTGCTCAAATAAGTGATTCGTCCCCCATAGCAAGAATGGCATGCTGACCGGAGCCCCCGGGAGAACAGTGACTTCCCATTCTGAGTCTTGCCTGGCATGCCGTGGGATCCATGCTGAGCTGAGGATAGGGGGATCCGCAGAGGCTATTGGCCATCTCCTTCTCCAGATGCAAAAGCAATGTGTGTGCATTGGCAGACAATGCTTCATATTTGAAAAACAATTTTGTTTAATCCCTTTACTTGCTCTTCTACATGATAATTTTATATTATGGGTTAAAAAGTTAAGAATATGGTTGGATTCATGCCTTCCAGGAGTGGAAGGGCTTTGCTTGCAGAGGATCCCTCAACCTTCCCCCCACCTATTATGGGTCACACCATTCAGCAGAGTCTCCAGACTCTCTGACTAGCATTTTGGGGGGCTGGGATGGGGCTGCTGCTGAAGCGGGGGTCTGGAAGAAGCCTTCCAGCACAGCTGATCCACTTGAAATCTGGATCCAATCCAGGCTTTTTTGGCATGAGAGATAGTCGTATGTCCTTTTCAAATAAAATGGATTGCCCTCTTGTATGCCATTTCTACAAGTTATGAAAGTAAAGTCTGTATTTCACTTTCCTCCTAGTTTTAACAGATAAGAAAGAAACCACACAGCATACACCAGTTAAGAAGCCAAAGGTGGAATCAGTATTGTACAAGGTATTGTCACTCTGTTATTATATTTGTTCATAAGAGGGGCTTTCACACAATAGCAAGTATTACAGGTGGACAATCCATTTAACTGCTCTTGCACGTTGATCAAAAACAGCTCCCTAGTTACAGTCTTGTGTATTCACAAGCTTAATCTTGTGTATTGGCAAGAAACAGCCCCTTTCTGCAGGAATGCCCATTCTCTTCACAGCAGGATGGCTTCCAGTGTTACAGGAACGTAGCTTTGCTTGCCCCACAGGACTAACTGCCCCTTCTCCCACTGTAGTTCCACAGATCAACTCTAGCTTTCCCTGGTGCTCTAGGACAGATCTGGCGGACAGATGGGTAGATGATGGTGGTGGTGGTGAGATTCTGTTCCACCAGGTCTGTCCATGCCACCGACAGACACACACAATTGGACACTGTCCTACAGGGATTGTGAGATACCATGTTGAACCATTGCCTGGAGGACTCAGCATTGTCTCACAGTCATAATATCCATGGGTAACTGATCAGCAGGTTTCACCCAGTGGTAGAGCAATTACTCTGTTTCCAGAAGAGCCTGGTTCATTCCTCAGCAGCCAGGGTAGGGCTAGCATAATCTCCTGTTTGATCCACTGAAAAGCACTGAGAAAGGGAGAAAAGAGGTGAAAATAAGTGCACTGAGAAGGGATAGGAGCAATATCACACAAGCAGCAATGTGATCTTCTGGATTTTAAGTATTGAACTGCCACGTCTCACTGTTCTCCACCATTTCAACACCCCACTGAGTCAAGGAAGCTGAGATGATAACTCTCCCCACGCCAGTGTTTATGTTCCCCTTCTGGAGTACTTATTGCTGCAGTTGCTGTGGATCATGAACAGGTTTTTTTAATTCCCTTAGGATGACTGAATGGGGCCAAGTGCAGGTGCTGCTGGTCCCCATTTGTTCCTGTTCTGTTCCTGTTCAGAACCCTGTTCTGTCCCTTCTAAAACATTGGGAATATCTATGCAATTTGGGGGGGGGGGGGTGGGAAAGATATGCAAATGTAATGGCTGGGAAATATAATGGTGGGGAAATTTGTGGACCTGCACTAACTGCTCCATTACTTCAGGTATATAAATTTCCTTTCCATTTACTTCCTAGCCCTTAAATTCATGCAGAATTCTGCTTCCCTTTATTTTCCACTCATTAAATTTTTATTTTATTTTATTTTTATTATTTTATTTCTATGCTGCCCAGTAGCTGAAGCTTTCTGGGTATTTCACAGCAATTTATCAAAATACAAAAGAGAAACACTCAAAATGGAAATATAGTAAACACAGTAAATTTGCATACATTTCCCAGTTCAAAAACTCACAGCTTCCAAAAAAAATGACTGAACCCAGGCAGTATTTTCCAAGCATTTAGGAGTGGTTAGTTGTCAAAACAATGAGTGGGACTGGATCTATCACTGAATGTTTTTTTTCTGTTGCCTGTTTATTGGTTTTATTAGAGGTTCATGTCTTTTATTTTATTGTTGGTTGTTGACCTGGAATTTTATGAAGAGTGAGATATGACCATCAATAGTTTAAAAAGAAACATTTTGTTTTAGACTTTCTAATACTAGTTGGTCTGGTCACTTGTTTAATCTTCCTTCCTTCCTTCCTTCCTTCCTTCCTTCCTTCCTTCCTTCCTTCCTTTTCTGACTCCTATAGAGTGATGACTCATCAGATGAAGATTCTCTCCACATTGATACTGAGGCCAAGCCAGGGCGCAATTCTAAGGTGAAGAAAGAGACTGGAAGTTCAGCAGGCATTCTGGATCTTTTACAGGCGAGCAAGGAAGTTGGGGGCTTGGAGTACAACACTAACAGGTGGGCAGAAGCAAGCGTCCTTGCCTGTCTTGAAATACTGTGCAGTTGTTGCTTCATATATGCACATTAGCCATGATTTTCCATTGCAATAATGATTTTTCTCTCAAGTAAACTCTGTGTTTTGTTTGCTTTTTGTCTCAGGCCCTGGAGGCAGGCAGCTGCGGAATGTGATTGTTATAGAATTGCAAAACTGGAACACTCCCTGCTAAAAATGCTGAAAATCTACCTAAGCGAAAACAATAAAGGAGATTATTTATTTCAAAATAAATGGTTCAATTAAGAGAAAATGAGAACCATTTAATTTATGCAACAAAATGACTTTCATTCATGTGCTCATAATCCTAATTATTGGTTCTTTCGAAGGGGGTATTAGAGAAAACTGCCTTCAAAACCCCAGGAAAAAGAGCAAATGCTTTTGAAAACTAATTTCTCCAAAGGGCAACAAATGAAATAGGTCTCCCTATGGACTTGTTTCAGGCCTTGCTCATTTGCCACCAACCCTATCATGCTGTAAGCATTTGAAATGAAATCTACTGTGAGTGGCAAAGCAAAGTTTAATCTTATTAGACACTTTCCCAACCAGAATTTCTTTTGAAATAAGGTAATGCACTGTAAAGCAGCAAATATATGTAACTATGAAGGCCAGATGTGACGTTGTAGCACTAGAACCATAACATCTGATATGCAGATGGCTTTAAGCCATTTTCTTTGCAATTCCAGATCTAACTTTTTCATACATTGCTTTTATGGCACAACGGGGCATTTCTGCGTGATTCATCTCCATATCAGTGTGGCAATATATTAAAACAGGATAAGGGATAGGGTGGGCCTAATCACTGTGATTGCTTTCCAAGCCTGGTTGGAGTGGAACCTACTTTCATCCTAAGCACCCTTCAAGATTCTTTAGCCAGTATCTTGTGCTCCTTTGGCAGTGGAGTCTACACAACGTATTTCATGACTGTGTTGTAAACAGCTTGGTGGGAGTGTGTCATGTCAGCTTTGCTTTTTATGCAATCAGATCCTTGTGGACAACAGTGTGCAGTGTAGCATGGAGGTTTTGGGCTATAATGCATAATGGTTGGTGTTGTTAAATAATTTGGATAAACCCTTTTCTTTTCCAGTAAGGTTGCTCATTTTTAATGTCTTGGTCACAATCAAAACTGTAGTTCAAATTATTGGAAACAAACTACTCTTCCATCTACAAGATTTTTGACAGGGCAAAAATGGAGTGTGTCTGGATGAAAAATGGAACAGACTCTTTCACTAAGGATTCACTCTTTGATGAATGGTTACCATTTAGACTCTACTAGAATTTGCATTATATTTATATTCTCTTAGAGAAATATTTTTTTTAATTTAATAGTGAACTGAATTTTTAAAGAAGTTGCCCTTTTATCAGGTGTGTAACAGGTAGACATTACACAGGTGAGAAAAGTGGCCAAGCTGAAGAGAACTGGTCCTTGTTCTGTAGCATAAAACAGGGATCAAAGAGAATATCTCAGGTAAAGGCAGGTACAAGCTGCATTTGACAGATTCTCCCTTCTGTGCAACTCTGTGTACCCTCTACTTTATGTGATTACAGCATGTTCACTTAATCTTTACTCACAGTTCAAAGCTGCCTTTCAGTCCAAGAATCAGTCTTTATAATGCAAAAAATTTGCCACCAAACACACACTGCATTTAAAGAAGCTCTCATTCATACATTTAATTCAACAGAGGATTTGTGCTCTCAGTCTCTCTCTCTCTCTCTCTCATATATATATATATATATATATATATATATATATATATATATATATATAAAATAGCAATAATCACTAAAACTACAGAAAGGGGATGTGACTTTCCAGACTTTAATAATTGTTTCCTGTTTCGTATTTCACTCGAAGCAGATCCAGAATTACTAAGCTGCAAATTTGCCTAATGAAAAACATATTGGGCACAATCCAATGTAAACATCTCCTGTGCAAACCTTGTTGATATTAAAAGAAGTTGTTCAAGAGCGGGTCAACAAAATGTTAAGCCAAAGGCAAAGTGACAGGATGCTAAATTAAAGGACACACTCCATTGGGAACCTCTTCTATTCAGCATCCACTTAGATGAGTGGGGTTTATACAGGAGAGTTTTCCAGCAGATTTTGCCTGAATGTTTTGCCACTTTAAGAGCTTGTTAAACAATCAGCCTTTTTTACTTTTTGCCAGAGCCACTGGTTTTGATCAGATCCCACAATTTATTTGCTAAGACTTGCCTTGCTTTAGGCAGTTCCTCCCTAATTTTCCCATTTGGCAGGCACTTTTTGATGGTCCATTTCCACTGTATCCAGGGTTCAAGGCTCTAAGAAAGCTGTTGGAGAAAAAAAGCAAATGACTTAAATGCTCGTGGAGCTGATGGCTGCTAAAAGCAGGTTAGCTACTTTTCAGTATTAAATGCGCTCAAGCTTGCCGAGCACATTTAATATTGCAATGCGGCCAGTGCAAAAGAACACTAAGTTAGCACGGAAACCAAACGTACTGCAGAGGCCATCGCTGTGTTAGGCAGGGGCCCAGGCAAGCCGCTTTTCTGCCTTCCACTTTTCCAGTGATATTAAATATAACAACAGCTACCCTCTTTTTAGCTATAACAGCTATAATAATCCAACATTTATTACCTGCCCAAACTGCAGAACTGGATGTCATGTGCCACATAGGTAATACGCAGCACCCCCGTTTATTCTGTGCTTGCTGGATTTATTTTGAGTTGAAGCTCTCTCCTCCTTGCCCCCACCGACACTCCCTTTTCTTCCTTTAGTCAGCCACCGGCATCTCCCAGCACCCAGGAAGCGATCCAAGGAATGTTGTCAATGGCTAATCTTCAGTCTTCAGATTCCTGCCTGCAGCCTTCATGGGGCACTAACCAAGCTAAGCATAATTCTGTTTCTGCCCCGAACTCCAAAAAAAACTGGAAGCAGCAACAGCAAAAGTGCAGGCAAGAGGTTGCTGAAGAAGAGTGCAAAAAACAGCATTGATGTTGAAGATTACGATGAGGACCAGGATCACTTAGATGCCTGTTTTAAGGATTCTGATTATGGTATGAAATGCCTCTCCAACTTCTTTCCCTGAATAGAACTGTTCAGATATGTGCAGGCAGTTAAATCCAGCACCCAGGGGTTTCAAGCCGAACCACCCGTTCCGCTAATCACACACAGTGTAGCTGCATGTTAGTTTCCCGACTCATGTGCACGTGTGCACAGCCCTGGTTCAGGACCACGTCACTTGGATGGGGAGAGGTTAAATGCTTCCCCCATTTTCCCCGGAATTCCAATCCCCCCAGGGGTGGTTAAAAAGGAGGGGGAAATTTCCATTGACTTAATGATTAGCAGAACGTGTAGGCTGCCACTTTGGCTGCCAGGTCATGAGACAGTTAACGCAGCCTCTGAGTGTGGGCTTAGGGCAATGAAATGATCTTGCACACAATGAACTTGGTGCTTTTCATGTGCATGTGAAACATGTTTATATGATATTTATAGCTAACAAAAGGTCCACTGAATAGAGTTATGCCTTCTCATTATGTTTTCAGCCATAAAATTCTACACAAGCAGGGGAGTGGGAGGCGGGTTCTTGGGGGTAACAGTTTCCTCCTCACCCAGCCCCACATTATCTTCACCTCTCCTTTCTCCCACGTCATGTGTTGCCCTCTTTGCAACGCCAGCTCCAGTGTTTCAGGGACTCTTGGGCAAGACACCCTCCGTGGGTCCTTTCCTCAGAGATGCATGTCAGATAAAAGGAAGCCCTTCTTGCAGTGGCCTTCACTGCCCCAGCAGCATGGATGGCCTTCAATCTGGCGGGATTTAAAAAGGAGATGGCACAAAGTCCTGGAGAAGGAGGCCATCGATCAGCAACTAGTTTTTACGTATTAGATTTATATCCCCTTTCCCCTTCTAACAAACCCAAAATGTTTCTCTTTCTCCTGATCTCAGTCTTACCTCCACCAACAACAACCTTGTAAAGTAGGTTGGGCTGAGAGTCTGTGACAGTCCCAGTTCTGCACTCTTCACCACTGCATGCACACATAAGTTGCTGAGGACCTTGGGCAGCTGGGGATCTTCTGCCCATCCCACTTGAAGGATCCAGCTGCCACCACATGAAGAGAGTGCTGGACTTGATACACCATTGGCCTGATCCAGCACGGCTTTTCCCGGGTTCCTACGTTCTCAGTGCATCTACCTTCTCCCTACCATTCTTACCAGCCCCTATTTCTCCTCATCCTCTTGCTCATCATTACTGCTTCTTGCTTGCTCAGCAGGCAGAGATCTAGTGAGCAAGCGGGCAGTTGCATCTCCTGCCCTTCCATCTCACCAGCACCACTGCCTGGGCAAAAGTGAAAGGCAGGTGGACAAGCAAGTTGCAGTGGGGAAGCGGAAGTGCGGGTCCAGGCAGCTCTTGTTAGCGAACCCCAGCAGGGGTGTGGGCCCTGGTCAGATGCCCAAGCATGGCTCCCCCCAAAACCAGCACTGCTGCTTCTTGTTTGAGGAATGTTTACAGTGCCACATGGGGAGCTGGCCTTTTGGATAAAAGTGTCCCATTCACGTGGGACAGCTCCCGAGAAGTGGGTATATTTTTTAGTAGCATATGTGAAAGGGGATTTTTTGTTTTACTAAATAAAAAATGACTCTGGCCATTATCCTTTAAAAAACATGGTTTCAGTATTTGATATGCTGAATATGAAAAATAAACATTGAGATCTTCTGAAGTCCAATCAAAACAAGACTTTCTTCGGTTTTGAAAAAGTCGTGTGTGTTTGACAAAACATAAGCACAAGTTACAATTACAGTACCTGTAGGCCTTTCACTCAAGCTAAATTACTTTTATAAGTATAATGTATAGACACGATCTAAATATGACATTTTGAAAGATGAGAGGACTATATTAGGAAAGCAACATTCTTGCTAATTATATATTTATGCTACCATTTAATAGGTTTGCTTTGTTGTAAGATGGTTTGGTTCACCAAGGCTCCATTTGTACTACATCTGGTCAGCACATTTTCAGTCAGTGGCTAAACTGATGCAATTACTTTAAAATCATATATTGCCCTAGCAAGAGAAATGAAAATTAAATGCACATTTTCTCTACATTGTTCAATTTAAGTGGCTGTAATGCGAACAATGCTGTTGTCATTTTGCCTAGAAGTTGGGGGCTCACTGAAAACAAAGAAGCTCAAGGGTGTGACAAATGACATGATAGGGTGAAATATAAATGTAAATTATTTTGTGCCTCGGAGAACTGCTAATAACACAACTACTGCTCACCCTGCAGCTTCACACAGTCACCTTTATGAGTGATGAACTTTCCACATGGTTGCAGCGATTTTAACTAGGCTGGAACTTTATAAATGGCCAAGGTACCTTCTGAGGTACACAAGATGCATATAACCAAGAACATCCTTGAATGTGAGAATTAGATCGGCAGATCAAATTTTGGAAACATACCCCTTCCCTCTCCTCCCTTCCACTCCTGCATTTCCTCTTACAACAGTTGTGATTAAACAAAGGTTCCAGAACTGAGCATGCCATGCTCCTGTTTGGGCGAGGGAATGATGTGTAGGTCTACAAAGATACTAAGAAAGGTGGCTTGCTCTTGTAATTAAAATGCCAGGTCTTGGCCAGACCTGTCCCAGTTTATGTTAGATCACTTGAGGCCAACCTGGTATTTGATTGTGCATGATTTGTACTGAATTCTTCCAGACTTGAAGGCGATTTCCAATCAGTGACATTGTTGCTCCATGATTTTACACATATTACTGAGTTACATTATTGTTAAATGTCATATAAGAATCTCTTAGGGTGTTTTTTTCCCCTTATTTAGTTTATCCCTCCCTTGAATCAGATGAAGATAATCCAGTATTTAAGTCGCGATCAAAGAAAAGGAAAAGTTCTGACGATGCACCATATAGTCCAACAGGTAATATTTCCAATTTTTGATATCAGGAATGTGAAACACTCAGACCACATACAGCTCCTCTTTCTCCAAAATCAAAACTTGATTGTTTAAAATAGGTGGTTTGCTGATGTAATGGCCTGTTTTCAAGTTAAATTTATTCTCTGCACCACCGCATCCCAATCAGTACAGGACTGCAGACTTATATTACTTTTCAACTGGAATACCATCTGTTACAGTACCTGCTCCGTAGACATGATATTTTATGTGATAGGCATCATTCTGTGTAGTTTTTATTTCTTCAGAATGTTGCAAGTTGAGATAGAGTGTTACAGGTCAAAGAACTTTAAGAACTTGAACTGAAATCAGCGGGCTATAAGTCCTGCTCTTAGAAATATAGTTTAAGTGTACCTAATTTTTATATTTTGTTCCATTCATTTATAAGGGATTCATCCCTACAAAATAGTGATAAATTTACTAAAAAGCATTGATTTCAACAGGTTAAGCAGACTTAGTTCAGTTTGGACTGCGCTAGTGCATGCGTGCACCTTTATATTGCATTATCTATAATATTATTTGGCTTCTTTATTTAGCAAGAGTTGGCCCATCAGTACCTCGACAAGACAGACCAGTCCGAGAAGGTACAAGAGTTGCCTCCATTGAAACCGGGCTGGCAGCAGCAGCTGCCAAGTTATCCCAGCAGGTGAGCTGACCCCAATCTCTCTTTTCCTCCAATCTCAATCTCTTTTTTCTCCACTCTCTTTTTCTCCAATCTCAAGACTATTCTTTTTCCCTTGTATATGTTAATACAGTGAAGGCTTTCATCACAAGAGGTTCTGCATTCATCATAAAGAGTAACCCTTACCTGCATTCCCTAAGGAGAAGGCCAAAAGAATCAAGATTTTGGAATGGCTTCCAAATCTGTTTTAGGAACCATGGTTGGAATCACAAAATGATGTTTCAGTTTAAGCGTTTTTTGTAACTGACTTCAATGCAGCCATAAGATGGACGAGATGTAAGCTGCCTTGAGCCCTTTGTAGGAAAAAGGCAGGATATAAATCCAAAAATAAATAAATAAAAATGCAGCCAAGTTCCCACCTGCTAACAAATGATGCAGGTGTCCTATTAAGCTCACTTTAATTGTGCAAATATGCAGACAGCTTTGAACTTCACTGAAAGCAGCTCTAAGTCTAAAGGGATCAGTTTTAGGGTTAGTTGTATGGAAATGAAGATCTCCAGGTGTACATTCAAAGCATCAGAGTTAGGGCAATATTATATAGCAAAGTTTGGGGTTCTGGAGAACAGCATGCTGATAATGTTGACCCCATACATGGCTGCTGTGATATTACCCTACTTAAAATATTGTGTATAGTTATTACATATTTATTTTATGATATTTTATTTTATTGTATGTCTGTAATTTCCAATAACCATAGCCCTTTAGGCATTTTACAACACTAAAATGAAATAAAATCCAATACAGAATTTAGGTAGCAATCACAACATCATAAAAATTCCACTTAATTAAAAACGACTTCAAAATTTAAACAATGACAACAGCTAGCACAAGTTAAAACCACAGAACCCATTAAGCAGCTGATGCAATGCCCTGATAGGCTGCTCAGAGCTGTTAAATGCCTTGCTGTAGAGGACAGGCTTAACCTGGCACCGACTGGATAGCAGTGTCGGCACCAAATGGGCCCCAGTCTGCAGCAGGGGCCACGTGAGAAGATGCTTTCCCTTGTTTTGCCAACAGAGCCTGCCCTGGAGGTGGCAGTGGCAGGCAGGCCCCTGATTTTGATGGTGGCGTCTGTGCCAGAGCATGACTGTGAGAGACCTTCCATTCAGTATTGCGGTAGAGGTCTACCGGTGGCACCTCAAAATTAAGTTTGTAAAGCCGGAATGGAAGCAGAAAAGATCAGCTCAAATGCTTAAAGCTGGAGCAACTCCCCTATGACAAATGATTGTGCTTCTTTCTGGTTTCTAGCTTTAAAAAAATAGTAAGCAAGGGAAGATGTGACTAGGTGCATAAACTCCTACATGTTATGGAGAAAGTGTTCTCTTTTCTCATAGCATAATTCTAAAATCAGTATTGTCCAATGAAGAGAATTGTTGGATATCAAGAGAGATAAAAGGAAGTTCTTTTTCATGCAGAACATAGATACATTACAGAATTCACTGCTGCAAGATATAATAATGATCAATGTTGGATGGCTTTAGAAGGGGGTATTCATGGAAAATAAGGCTTTCTGCGATTCCTGTTAATAATGATCATATATTCCCTCCAGCCTCAGAAGCAGAACGCCTCTGTTATGCCAGTTGCTGGGGAACATGGTCAGGGGGTGCCGTTACACTCATGTCCTGTTTGTGGCCTTTCTAAAGACCTGTGGTTGGGGCCAGAATGCAGAAACAGAAAGGCAGTTAGACTAATTGAGCTGATGCTTCCTTACTGCTAGGGAAATTGGAGATATCCGCAATAAATTCAAATGGGTATGGATTTTGATGAATCCAAGCCACAGATTTGGCAGTGGAGCATTTTTTACTGACTTGCACATACTTGTGGAACAGGTTTTTTTACTTTGTAGTGGATGCAAATATGCATTCAAGCAAATGCACATTTGCAACACAGAAACAAAATTCTCATCTCTCTCTCTCACCAAAAAATGAAAATCCAGCTCTATCAATGAGCCGACAACTGAATGAAAGACACATGATAATGCATGAAGTACCAATGGAATGGACTTAACAAAATCCATACATCTGTGCTTTCACATTTATATATCACCTTTCTATAACCAGCCAGGGCTGTTCTTGTGACAGCAGAAGTAGAACAGCTCAGCAGCAAGAATTTGATACACTTCAGGCCCAAACTAATGGAGGTCAGATGTATAACCTCAGCAAACCTTTCCTTATAAAGGAGGCACAAATGAAGGTCCAAAAGAATAATTTCCTCAAAATGCCACTTAAGCAAAATTTTCATTGAGAGGCAATTGACTCAACAGCTCTACTGCGAAAGAAGCTATTGCCAAACCTGCCTGTTAGTGAACTTAATGCGATACAATGCAAGTTTAGACACAGAGAATGTTGTGCAACTCCTGCTGCGGGTTGTAGGCCTTTTTCTGTCTAAACTTGCATAGGACTGTGCCAATCGCTTATCCAAGGATAAGCCATGTTGTACTCAGGGGATTTGCTTTGGAGTAAATATGTGTTGGCTTACACTGCTGGTTGACAAATCAATATAGGCATTTAAGGCATTTGACTGTACTGTACACAAAGAATGATTCACAGTCCAATGGCACAGTGCGCTTCCTGGCCTCCGTTGTGAGCAGGGACTGGGAGAGGAAGACGCAGAGCAGGGATCAGCCCACTTGCTTTTGCATGGACTGCAGTCCTGCAATGTGAATTTTTTGCCCGTGCGCATTTTGCCAAATCCTGCCTTTCCCTTCATTGTGAGTCATTTCGCTGATGCCTGGATTTAAATTCAATAATTCAAGAAGACATGAAATGTGCTCGGCACCTGTGATTTTTCAGTCTTGTTTTTTTATACAGGCTTATAACAATATACTTCATATATACAATCTGTGAGGATGAATGAGATCTCAGTCATAAATCACTTTGCAGATGACCAGATATAAGGAATGCTTATTCTTTCCATGTAAACCATGCCTCCTGAATAGGAGGCCACAGAAAAGCCATAGAATTGTGCCTTTGGGCTGCCTTCTGAATTTGTAACCCGTATCAGAGCTGACTATCAAGCCAGTGGCGTAGCCGTTTATTGTGGATTGCATAGCTTGAATGGCCTGCTAAAATCAGATATTGCGAGGAACCTCATTTACTGTTCTGTTTTTTAATTTATCTTTTAAAATCTATATGCCACTTCAATCTCCAGAATGGGTGTTGCTCAAAGTGGCCAGCACAGTACCAATGTAAAAATCCCCAGAAAAGCAAAACAAAAACAAAAACCAGTCATTGAAACACATTTACTATATTTATGCTAAGAGCAGCAGCAACAACCCAAACCTAGAAAATAAAACTAATGGTCAACAAATAAAATTAAGCAACAGAGTTGAATTCTATCAGATCACAGCTAAAGAGGAAGATGCTCGGGTGTGTTCCTCTTGGGATATACTTGGGGGAACTGGAGCTGAAAAATCCCTCCTGCATGCTGCCACCAGCCATATTTCTGAAGAGAATGCCACATATGTGGGGGTGCATCAGCTCATCTTAAAGGACAGGCAGCTTCAAAGAGCCTAGTTACAAGTCATTTATGGTTTTATAATAGACGTACTTAACCTCTTTGGCTCTGGGGTCTGCAAGTGTGGACGCAGGACAGGGCCTGCTATGGACACACCTGTGCTCCAGATAAACAGTCCTGCTCAGGTTTTCTGGGGTTTGGGAGGCTTTCACCATGGACCGGTGGCTTTAGGGCCTCCATCCCAGGGATCCTGGTCAAGATGATTGGGGTAAGGGGATAACTACTTTGGGATCACATGGATGATATAGCTGTTGCCTGTCCTACTGCCTTATCAGGATCACAGCTTCTCTGTTGCCATTAAGAGGGCAGAAGTAGGAACCCCAGTTGCTTGAGGAAAAGCAGCTTTCCAGGCCTGCTCTGATTGGGTTTGCCATCTCTATTAGCAGCGCTAGAACTGTGGACATTTTGCAGGACATTTTGATCATCAGGACTGCTGCAGAAACGGACGAGCTCAGGCAGGCCATGTGCCACCTGTGCACCTCTGACATATTTATTTTATAGATTATATGTATAGCCTACCTTTTTTTTCCTTCCAAGGAACTCAAGGTGGTTTCCATAATTTTCTTCCTCCTCTCCATCTTAGCATCAAAACAACAACAACTTGGGCTGAGAGGCCATGACTGGCCCATTCTCCCAGTGAGCTCCATGGATAAGTGGAGGCTAGAACTCAGATTGCCTGAGTCCCGGTCTTGTTCTCTTAACCACTACATCACCCTGGATCTCTATAATAACCAGCACCTAGAATTGTACTTCAGTTCAATTGTCAAATCATGCTGGAAACATTACCTGGTCACCAAGTTGCTTTCATATGAGTTTCCTCACAGTGCATCTTCTAACATTCATTCTGTGTGGATGAACGAGATCTCAGTCATAAATCGCTTTGCATATGGCCAGATAGGAAGACCACTTACTCATTCTTTGAGGTCTTGTATACGCTTCTTATATTCCTGTTATGAATAACTCGTCCTTAGAAACTAATAGCAGCTGTGTTCTTCTTGAAAGGAGGAGCAAAAGGGCAAGAAGAAGAAGAACACCAAAAAGAAATTATCACCGAACAATGCAAATAAACTCCCTCAGGAAGGCAGCTCTCCTGAACCCAAGCTGGAGTCCCACAGCAGCAGTTTAGCAGACCACGAGTACACTGCTGGCGCAAGCACATTTGGGGTCGCCCAAGTAAACAGAGGCTCTCAGCCCATGGCCCCAGGAGTTTTCCTCACGCAGCGGAGGCCCTCATCATCGTCACAGAATAATGCAGCTGCCAAAGGTAATGTTCGTAGATTGATTCCAAAATGGCAGCTCACGTAAGGTTCCTGGTTCTACACCATCTGTTTTGAAGGACTTTTGTGTGATCCATCAACTTCTTTCCTGAGCTTTTGCTGAAGCTCTCCACTTCTTGCCTTCAGTGGAACTGGCAACGGCAACATATTAAGAGGGAATAGCCGGATTTCTCACACTGGAACAGTTTGGATATAGGCGAACAAGACACATCATACTTGGCATAAGCAATACCATGCGGTTTCCTCCGTATTAGGTTGAGAAACCTTCTGGGGCTGTGTGCATCCTTGGCAATTTGAAAAATTATTCTGGGAGGTGCCATAAAATGGTTGCTAGATCAATTGTAGAAAAGGTTGGGTAACCTCCCAAAAAACTGACTACAAGGCAGAGGAAGGATCTGAGCCCTAACTCACTGAACAATTCCTTGAATCTGCAGCTTTCAGCACAGACAGAAACCTATTTCACAGCAACAGTTGTTACTTTTTTAAAAGAATGGGAGGGATAGGCATGTGCCAAGAAGGGCGTCTGGTGCATTGGTGGCCACTGGCTCCACCTTGCCTTTACCTGCCCTATACAGTCTAATAGAGTTTTTCTGACCAGTAAAATCTTGATCAGCTATTATTATATGTATGGTATTTGGCAAGTTGTGCAGCTGAGTTCTTTGCCACACCTCAGTCATTCCCCCACACTCAAAACCACAGTAAAGAAACCTATCAAGACAGAGACACGGTTTGTAGAAAGAGCACCTGTTTCTGCAGCACAAGTATATTTCAACTGTTGAAAAGGGAGCAGATGGGTTCCACCAATTAGGTTCTTCAACTTGTTTTTCTTCTTTGACATTATAAACATTTGACGCTTTAGTCTTCAGACCACCCTAAACTTTGGAACAGTGGCTGACTGAGGGGCACATCTTGGTATTTGCTTCTCTGTGGCAGGCCAACTGGCCAGAGATCTCCTTTAGGTGTTTATGGAGTTCACAATTGGCCATGAGAGGACAGAAGAAGAAGCGGGGAGGGAGGGAAAATGCAAGAGGTTTTCAGGAATGAAGGTGCCCATGGTGGTGGGCAGTAAGATTGGTTCATTTGTGATGGCAAATCCCAGAAAACAATGCAGATTGGAGGAGAAAGTTTTCTGGGATATGTACACCACCTGGTTTATGCTCACCGGATCATGACGCATACTCTCTTCACTGCACAGATCCCCGGGCTTCCTTGGAGAAGTAGTGTAGAGATGTTTTGTCCTCACAATGACCATGCCAGGTAGCATAGGCTGTAAGGTAGGACCTGGTCATTCAGTAGTCTGAGTGAGGATTCAGACTCAGGCCACCATTGTCCAGTCTGTGTGAAGAATGCAATGAATATTTATTCATATTATTTGCAGACAGAGCCCATTCATTGCATATAGCAGGAATAACAATAAAATATCCAAAAAGCACAGACATCAATATGAAGAATCCCACTTCTCATTCAATGTGCCAAGTATAACTAAATAACTCCCTATTAATAACTACCAAAGATGTGGTTTTACTTAGTTTGTTCATACTGAAGAATGTCCACAACAATCCAGTGATGCTCTGTTTGAAAAACTTGAAAGAATTTCTTTGTCTGCTTTTGCAAATAGTCTCATACTTACCTGGAGGGCACCAGGTTGCTGAGCCCTAGATTAAAGTTGCTCATTAAACTGGGTGTTTCTATTGATACATGTATATAGAAACTGGAAAGTACTTCATTTATACCTAGAAGGTAAAAATGTAGCAGATTCCTTCTCTACACCAATTTTCAATTGCCTTTGCTTCAGCTCTTTCAGTAATGGACTTTCCGTTTCTTCATAAATATAGATTCTGTGGCTTAATGTGTCCCTGTTCTCTTCTTTTCAGGGAAACGTACAAAAAAAGGCATGGCCACAGCTAAGCAAAGGCTTGGAAAGATTTTGAAAATCCATCGGAACGGGAAACTTCTCCTCTAAAACTTGGCCACAGTTGGAACTGTTTCAAAGTTCAGAATGTCCTGAGCTGACCCTAACTCTTCAACTCTTGAAGGACTTCTTCAGTAGTATTGTGCAACATCTTAGGGACAATACCAGTTAACTTTTTGCCACCACTTTAATAAATTGTTTTTAACTTTCAGCAGTTAAACATGTACAGAATACTGCTATAAATATTTTTTAATATAGATGTCCTTTCTCAAATTGCTGAGAGTGACTAGTTCGCAAAAAGTTAATACTCCAAGACACTGAGGATCATTCCAGTTTTAGGAAAGTATCCCTTTAACTTGTTTTTAAGTGAAGAAAAAGCCGTTGTTTTTAACAGTATGCACATTAATTTCAGTTGTCCTTCATTTATCAAATCTGCACGAATTTTAAAGAGGTATCTGGTTAAGCAGCAGAAGGTCAGAGTTTTCGAAATGTTTTCAAATTGACTTGTAGAGATTTCTGCCACTATCATGTGATACAATACATGCAAGGAATGATATGCAGAATGAAATGTCTAGTTTTCATTACCCAGATCATGACAAATATGTTTTATTCAGTAGAAGAGTGGAAACTGCACTTCAGCACTACTAAAAACTTTCCCTACAACCAGACATTAGATAATCATAGGTTAATTTATTTTATGTGCAATGCAAGCTGATTTCCAGAACATTATGGATCCTAGAGTGGATCCCATTGCGTTAATGAGTTGGGTGTACATGCATAATGGAAGATGCAGTTCCTTCAAAATCGATGGGAGTTTTTCCATTAACTTCAATCAGTGCTGGATTTACACCCTTTTCATTAATAGATTTCCAACCTTCCCACCATTTTCTATCTGCAAGGTTTATTTTTAGCATCTATTGTCATGTTACCCACGCTTGTTGTCTATGCTTTAATCACTGCAAGTCAGTGTGTGACAGCAGTAACTTTGCCTGACCTAAACACACACATCCTTCCTATAAAATCTCACAAACAAACGCATACACTTGAGAAAATGTTGCAAAACTAATTGGCACCTCAGAAGTAAGGACTGAAATCAATGGCTGTGTTTGTGCTATGGTTTGTTTACTTGATAATGGAAACTGGAGGGTTTGCAGTTAATTTTTTGAGATATTGTTGGTTTGGAGTTGCTCTTTGGAAATGATACCCGCTGCTTATCAGAGCAGGGGATTCCATATTTGTTTATTTGTTAACTTTGTGGCAAGGGCATGGTCTCCGCCTCAGTTCCTGTGTGGCACAGGAAATATTTGATGGCAATTTCCCTCCCTCACCACTGATGCCCAAGCACAGGTATGCACAGCATCCAATGCAGAGTCACTTCATCATCTGCCACCCTGCGTGTTGTTCCCATTTCTAACATTCTCAGTGGGGCCGTGCCTGATGGAATCAGCAAGCTAAGGGCTTGTTGTCCTTAGCAGAAGCAACAAGCTAAGCATGTTGCCCGTAGCATAATCTTATGCCTGTTTTCTCATGCAGGAGTCCCACGACATACAACCAGATGTATTCCCAGGGAAGCAGGGAGAGGACTGCAGCTTTATCCCAGGGCTCTTGGTATATTTTCTTGGCTTATGCTTGTGATTTGATAGCCATCCAGCATTTCAGCCTTCCCAGTTTGGCGGGCTCTTGCATGTACAACCAGTGCCACCAGGGATGCTCTGGCTAGCTAGTCCAACAGCAGAGCTTTGTCTTTTGGCTGGTATAGGAATGAAATGAACAAAGCAGCTGTGGTGTGTGGCTGGGGAAGTGTTTACCTAGGGCAATGTGGAATGGAGAAAGTTCTACTCATACACCGGGATTTCTTCTTCCCCACTTTCAATTTACTGCAGCCTTGACCAATCTGTGCATCATGTAAACAAACCAGACATATAAATGTGGGAAGAAGTTGTCATCTCAAGACAACCAAGAATGTATTCAAGCACTTACTTTTGGCCCTATTTCCAAACCCCGAGCCTTCTTTCTACTTTAGAAAAAGCAACATGTACAGAGAGAGTGGGAAAGAGAAAGAGAGAGAAACTGCCACAGGCAAAATGCTAAGAAAATGTTCCATGTGCACACACTCTTTGAGGGTGTTTTTGTTCTTTGTTTTTGCTTTGTGTTTCGTTTAATGCCTCCAACCCCATTCGAGAGTGGAACCCGGATGGCTGGATGGCGCATGCTGGCCTTGCGGCCAAGGCGTGCAGTGAGGTGGAAAGACCAGGTGGGCCTTTCGCAATGGAGAAAGGGCTTCTGACATTCGTATCAAAGCACTTCCTCTCAGATGCGCTTGTCTGAAGGACCGTGGGTTGTGTGCACCAGGGGTCTGATGTAAGAAGAGAAGCTTCTGAGCAGTTGAACTGGATACTTGTTGTCTTTGAACTCTCTTAGTGTTTGGTGTAGAGTGCATTATTTTACATTAAACTTGCTTGTCTGCATATAAACACTTAAGGAGTTAAATTTGTTTCTCAGGCAATCTCAGATTTTCATTTATAGATACGTTTCCTAAAGCATATTTTTTCATAGAATGTAGCCTGTAAATAGCTTTTTAAAATACCTTCTTTTTATAAGAGCAAAGTATCTTTAGAGATTTCTTTCTATAGAATACTTCATTAACCTTTATACAAGTTTCTTGCTGAGTATTATCAACAGTTGTATTTTAGGTTCTTGACTCTAAGAGAGAAAAGTTAGATTTTGTCTTTGTTTTTATTTTTGTTTTGTTTTGTTTCCTTTTTATGTTGGCATTGCCTGAAAAACAAGTAAAACTTTGTGCAGCCTTATAGTGAATCAAATCATACTAAAAACACAACCTATTTAAGACACGTTCTGAAGAAGAATCTTCAACTTTATAATACCAGCTCCTTGTTTCTTGTATTCTGAGGGGATACAATTATTTTATTAGCACCTTGTGAAGTGTTTATGTGTTTTGTGATGATGTAATTTATTAATGTTTGTAGCTTTTTATATTTGTACATTTCTTATGAGCTTTGTTTATATACACATTACCTGGATGTGATGTCCATGAGGAAAAAACAGCTACAGAAACAACTGAGGCCTTATTAACTAACCTTTCTATGATTATGGTGGGGAGATTGGGTCTGAATTCTAGGAGTCAAAAATGTTAGTTGAATAGGGCCCCAGGGTTATGCCGAGCAAGTTTTTTTAAGCTTCCCTAGTATACTGTTCTTGTCAAGCATTTATATAATATAACGCAGACATCATGCTGGTTTTTTATTATTATGATTATTATTATGATTATTATTATTTTCGCAACATGTACATTTCTAACAAAGTTTATTGTGGCTATCTATTACAGTGTTTTATTTACCGATTCATATCAAATGCTCTTGTATCAAGTCCATGAAATCTAAGTAAACTTAGATCAAAATTTTAAAAGTAAAATATTTCAGGTTTTGTATAGAATTGGTGTCGGTTTGTTTATTTGCAAGCGTAATCGAAATTGTCGACCCGCAAGTCATCGAAGACCATGGTGCGCTACGTTGCACTCAGATTGTTCACTGCTGGCCTGTAGCTGCCCAGGAACCATCTTTTCTGTTCTGGCGCAAGTTGCTTTAGAGGAGATAAACACAGAGGAAATAAAGGACTGAACATTATTATTATTATTATTATTATTATTATTATTATTATTATTATTAACATTTCTATGCCGCCCCTTGCCGAAGCCTCGGGGCGGCTTACAACACAGTAAAATACATTGAAATACAATAGAACATAATAAATTACCATTAAATACAAAAATACAAAAAATACACTGAGTTTCAAACATAATAATATAAAATTAAAAATAACAGTATAAAATAAGTAAATAAATAATATAGGAGGAGAAAAGACGAAGAAGAAGTTGCCCTGGCCAGATCATATGTTTTAACAATTAAAATGATGTTTAAACAAAAAGGTCTTTACCTGGCGCCGAAAAACCAGTAACGACGGTGCCAGGCGGACCTCTTTGGGGAGTGAATTCCATAGGTTGGGGGCCACCGCAGAGAAAGCCCTCCTCCGGGTACTTACTCTCCTAATTTCTTTCATGGAGGGTTCCCGGAGAAGGGACTCTCCCGCAGATCTCAAATGGCGGTCTGGCATATACGGACGTAAGCGCTCGTTCAGGTAGCCAGGACCCAAGCCGTTTAGGGCTTTATAGGTCATCACCAACACCTTGAATTGGGCCCGGGCTTCAATGGGCAGCCAGTGAAGCTGACGGAGGACTGGAGTCATGTGAGCATAACGCCCCGTCCCCGTCAGCAACCTGGCAGCTCTATTTTGCACCAATTGAAGTATCCGGACCGTCTTCAGGGGAAGCCCCACGTAACATGGTCTCTATTGAACCACAGGGCCAAACACCGTAGACCAAATACCAAAGCAGTCATTCCTGTTACAGTGGCTTTCTTGTGCAAGAGAAAGCCAGAATCACTAACACCAAGGACTAGCTTCTTTGGGATCCACAGTAGCATTTCAAGGTGTGATGTTTAAAAGAGTGGCAATACTTATATGACCATATATGCTTTGCACATTAACCTGGTCTTCCACTGCACACAGAGCAGTCTGCCTTGCACTGGCTTTCCCTTTTGCTTGAACACAGGGAATAGGCATTCCCTTCCATCAAAACTCAGGATGTGAAAACCCACAATGTTTGAATTTACTGAGGTCCTCTGAATTCTATCTCAAAGCTCAGTTCACCTCCTTCATGATTCTAAAAATTGGCATTTTTCTGTTTTCCTGATCAGGAAAAAATGCATTTTAAAAATATGTAACTAAAATCTACCATTTCTCCTGCCTCCCACCAAAAGCAAAATAAAACAAAAACTGTAAAGCGTGAATGATGCACATTTTTCAAACTGGTTCACAAGTTTTGAAATGTGCAGACATTTTCTTCAAACATACATCAGCGTTTGCATTCCTGGTTGGAAAAGGGGCTTGTTCCAGTGTTCAAGAGGAAGGAAATTCATATACTTCCCTGTCAAACTCCTTGGTTCATGCAGGAGTGCTGTGTGAGCAACATGGCTCCTGTGAACACAAGGAAGTATGGATCAGACGGATTATTCTTTCATTTATATGTGGTGTACCTAGGCATAACTGCTTTGTTTATTGTTAGAGACCTGTAATTTATTCATTTATGTATTTAACACTGAGTACAGGCTGCCTGCTAACGGAAGTTCTCATTCACAGAGCAAGCTGTAGGTAGAGATAAATTGCTGGTGGTATGTGAAACGTGTGGGTGGTGAGCGGTTGGCCTATCTCTGGCATAATGCAGGGACAAAGGGCAACTGCTGAAGCTGCCTTCCCCCTCTCGAAAGTTGATTCAAGGTAGAAGAAAACTTCATTGAAAGTGGAATGAGACAGGAAGTGATGGGAGATTCAGGGCACCATCCTGTTTGGCCACCTGCATCCAGTGGAAGGAGGCAGGAACATGGAGGCTGGGATTCCCCCATGCGCCCACAAGGAAGAGGGATGAGGCACCACCTCGGTTTTCCATTGAATGGCAGTGCCGGGCTCTCCCGCTCCCTGCTCTACAGAATTGCCCCTCAACACCTGCTCTGAAGATGGCTGCTCAAATCTGAAGCCTCAGCAAGCCTGCAAAGGAGGAAGGATAGCCTTCCAAAGATGGGGTGCCTGCTGTAGTCTTGGGGGGAGGGGCTTTTCTGAGCTTAGAGTGGAGACTTTTCCTTTGGCCAGCCCTATGATTACTTCCATATGTGCCAGCCCTAAGATTACTTCCTGCTGATATATGAGCATTTGAATCATATTTTTAAATAAGAAAACAACCATCATGGCAGCAAAGATGCTATTTTGGATAGCAGAGTGTCTGGGGAATGCTGGGAGTTGGACGCTTTCTGTCTAAACATGCTAGGATTGCACCCTGACAGCATCTCATCGAATTGGGAATTTCAGTTGGCAAAGTAACACTCACTGGGATCCAGCACAGAGTTTCGGGGTCAGTGCCACCTCTGCTGGACCTGATAATCGCTCTTGTGCTGGGTGCAGGATCTGCCCTCCGTTCAAAGACTGGAAGGACTTAACAACCTGCCTCCTGATGTCAGGAAAACCTGCCTTTTGAAAGCAGTGGAGTGCAACATGGGGCCACCACAAATTCTGGCCCTTGATTTGTTCCAGAATTCTGTAACTGGGAGATTTGATGAAAACAGCTGTCTAGCAGCTACTACATTTATCACATGTAGGATACTACACTTTTTTCCAGGGAATTTTGAAGGATACCCTTTCCACATTTCAGGTTAGTGCATTCAGTAGGGTCCCGTGACTCTGTGTGTATGGAAGAGGGATGGACTACAGTGAAGGAGTGAGAAAGAGCAGGGAAAATGGCTTCTGCCAGTCCCCTTGCGCATGCCCAAACCTTAATCCACTCTTCTGGGCCTTGTCTCATGGCACCCCATCAACCTCCACCATTTGGATCTCACCATGCAGTTGGAGTCTAGTGTGTGTCTCTCACAGGTCTACAAAAAACAGGTGGGGTTAATGGCCTTTAAGAGGACCTTAAATCATTCAAACCAATCCTGGCTGAATTATAAAATCAACCATGCATTCCAGGTCATCAGTAAGAGTCCAAGATTAAAACAAACACAGCACCATAGAAGATTGCAGACATGTCAGACTCGAGGAGTGTTTGAGGTGGAAATCTTACACGGATTTGCCAGGCATCTTCATTTCTCCCACTGAATCAGGGTGCTTACTTCTACATAGACAGGTATAAGTCACACCATGAGTAGAAAGATTTAACTGGGCTTATGAATAACCTGCTAGCCTTCATGTCTTTATTCAAAGGTAGCAAATTTATTTTTTCGATATAATTCTGATAGGATCCAAAGCTTCTGAAAAACAAAATGATGAGAACTTACCAGTGAGCACACCTGTAAAAGCCCACTTTCGTCAGGAAAGATGAGAGCATGCTGGCAGCAGAGTGAAGCTGGCAGATCTGGCGAAAGTGCCTGCCATCCCTGGCTCTCCTTCCTGCAGCCATCCATCCAGCCCTGTGGGAATGCAACTGAGGCAATCTAGAGATCCTGCTGAATGGGCTGAGCTGTGGCTTGGTGCAAGGGGAGCTCCCCAAACGCTGTGTGGGGGACCTAACAACGCGTCTCCTGATATCAGCCCAGCCTTTTGCAAACGGCAGAATGTGACGTGCGGCCATTGCAAAGGGAAAATTTGTGGCTCTTGATTTGTTCCAGAATTGGGCAACTGAGAAATTTGATGAAAACTGCTGTTAAGCACCTGCTACATTTATCAGCTGTATGGTACTGCACATTTTTACATAAATGTGATGTCTTATAGCTCTTAGTTTTTATTGTGAAAGAGCAACCTATTTGTTTATAAGTTTAACAAACCAAATACTCTGAATAAATGTGGGTTTGTTTGGGTTTTAAGAAATTTCTTACACCAGAAGATAACTGTCCACAAGATGGAGCTCTACTTCTGCATTCAAATATACATAGAAGCCATCCAATATGATTAGTATCTTGCACAAAGATACATGTGCAAGGATCAATCCCTAAGACAAGAGCAAAATGCATCTAACATGCAACAAAAATGCTGTTTTTTTAAAGAGTCTGTGATTTGTACTTCCCCAGTTTGGAGCCCTCCAGATGTTCTGGACTCCAGTTCCCATCACCCCCAACTATCACTGCAGATGGTCAGGAGTATATCAGGGAGGCTGATGTACAGTCCCTAGGAAACTATGTCATGCATTTTGTCTGAACATGAAAGGGTGTCTTTAAAGATGCAGGGGTTAGAGAGACTATATGGGATAATAGATAAGAGAGACTATGGCTGGAGGGCAGTTACTCCTTTTTAGACTAAGGACAGCATGTGGATTTCTTACGGCCTCTTCATATTCCACAGTCACTTGTGACTTGGGTGCACCAGCTCCATGTAATCTTACCCCAACATGTTGGGCTACCCAATCATTGCACAAATCAGTTAAGTCTTTGTTAAGGTGTGCATTTCCACCCCACTTAGTACCATTAGTACACTTAGCCTGGCTTTTTGCTTTTGATATAAAAATGTCCCCCAGGTGTTGCTTCTTTGAGAGGTGGAGAAAAGATTGACTTTCCCCTGAGGATATTTGGACTGTTCTTGACTACTTTTCTAGGACTGGCCCAAAAGAAAACTCAAATGAGCAGGGCAGTTCCGCGAAAGTTTCCAACATGACACAAACTGAATGGATTAAAAAAAAAAAAAACTGATGAAGTTCATAATACCATTGTAAAGAAGTTCCACATGTGGGATTAATTTGGGAAGTTTTTTTTGAGTTAACCTTACGAGCATTTCCCTGTCACTAACTGCAAGTGAACAGAACATTTTGGAATGACTGGATGATGGATATGGCATGGGGTTCATTTCTTCCAAATGTACATTTCCACCAAGAAAACTTTCTAACTTGTTACAACAGCTTT